CCTGTACTGCACATCTAATTAACCATGCTCTGGGATTTCACCTATGGGTTTTCAACTACAGGAAGCTACAGACCCTCCACCTTTTATTGAACTTCAGTGTAAGTCAGGACTCCGTGCTTTGTAAGTCTGTCTTGAAAAATTTTCCATATTCTTGCTTAACTACATGAAAACTCAGACAAGAAAGCACTCTTGAAACTTAGGTTGAGGTAACCCATGCACATTTATTGCTAATTAGAATTTAGGGGGAAACTGGAGTGAAGCTGAAACCGGCAATTAACTCCCTGCCTCTTGTCATTTACCTGAAACACCCTCACAAACGAATACCTGTGCAGTTACTCAGCACAGATCAAAAATGCCTTTGGTTCCCAATCAGTGACACAGGCATTAATGCAGATGCTTAAGCAGGATCTGGTGAGAGACCTCCATTTCTCACGCTGCCCTGCATGCTCACAGGAGCAGAGCGAGAAGTCTGGCTGGGGAATGAGTGTCCCCCAACCGCACCCCACTCAGGGTGGTTGCTGTTATTGAAGTGGCTGCAGCACCACCAGCCTCATAACTTAAAACCTCCCACCATGACACCCTTTACTTCTGTTCCTTGTGAACCCAAATGCCTGTGACTATTTACCACCCACCATGCAGTGTGTATAAAACCCAGGTGGCATTCTCCCAGCTGGAGCCAGCTGCTCACATTACAGAAGCCGGCCCCATGTACCCACCTAGCACAGGATCTGGTGAATAGTAGATTATTACAAATATTTATTGAATGAATGAGCCATGAAAAACATTTTAAAAGTATGGCCTGGCTTCCTTCTACTGCTTCAACTTATGGCTGCTTTCTCTCATCCAGTCAAAGTCAGGATGCGCTCAGCTATTCCAAGCCAATTTTCATATTAGCCTAGAAAAATAAGAAAAAATCAGTTGCCAATCTAGAGGTAGGTGAAGTTTCCTTTTATGAGAACAATGTGTTTGTTTGAAATAAATAGTTGGTAAACTGCTTGGATTAAGGAGGGAGATTCCAAGGAGTTTATCCAAACGGCAAAAGGCTACAGACCAGTCTTCTAAGTCCTGGGGCCAGCTGCTAATTACAGGTCATTAGTCTCCTTGAGTCCTGATGCCCCTGGGTATAGGTGCTGAGGCACAATGCCATAGAGACGTTTCAGGTTTAGGGGATGTCCAGGAGCAAGTGTAAGGCTTGTGTGTGTGTGTGTACATGTGATAGATGAGTACAGTAAGTGAAAAGATCTCCCAGAAATGGCAAAGTACAGAAGAGGCTCTGGAGAAGTGAAATATCAAATGAAGAGGAAGCTGTTCATTGTGGATGTGAGCATAACCTCCCTCTCAGGCTCTTCCCCATGTAATCTTAGGGAAAACCTGCATTGCTCAGTAATGCTCTGGCTGCAGGGGCTTTGTGGGAAGGAATCTTGAAGAGGTGCTAGGTTGGGTCTGGGTTTTCTCAGGACAGAAATGAGATTACCAGCATGAATGCAGAGCAGTGGAAGTCAGCTGACATCTAGGTCATGTCCGCCTCAACAAATACTTGAAATAGATGACTTAAAAATTCTTTGTTTTAATGTCTTTTCCCATAACTATAAACTTATTGAAGTTCCTGTCCTTGCAGCAACAGGTCTGTTAAAATGTAAGGACAGGAGTCTGCACCCATGGCCTAGAATTCTCTTGTCCATCCAAAGAGAGAAGGCCCAGCTCAAGCTAACTCCCTAGCTGGTAAGGCTAATATGTATGTTCCTTCCTCCAGCTCATCCACCATGATGGTACTTGGCACCTCACTGCTGTTAACCACCCCCCGTCCTTCTTGATGTCCCCTTGGTGGTGAGAGAAGTCTGGCTGAACCCTCCCGACATGAGTATCTTCCTCCTGAGAGAGGCTACTTCAGTGCAATCCATTTAGTTTAAACATATAGAAAAGGGCTAATCTTTTTTGAGATCATGATATTTGGATAGTTTACATCATCATTAAGTTTAAAAATTAAAATATTAAGATAGCTTAATTTAGCTCCACACTCTACATTAAGACAAAGCAACACCTCTTCAACGGTAAGTTCTAATACTCTTGCTTGTCTCCAAGAAAACAGCATCCTGCAGGCAACTAACTGCACATCATTTGTCTCAAAGGTGATATGCCTTTCTAATACAAACTTATCATATAATGTTATATTTTGGGGGCCTTACCTATGATATAACCTCTGGTGTCCTTATTTTATCCATAAAATGAGGGAGTTGGACTAGGTCATATGGAAGGTTCCTTTCAGCACTCAGAGAGATTCTAAAACATTTGGCCATTTTCTCTGTCATGCCGTAAGTTATATACAATGTTTTCTAGCTAGAATTGAGACTTAGACATCCTTGATTATTTTGCATATTTAAGGCAAATAAATTGAGAGAAAATAAAGGAAAGGTGTGTATTTATTGAGTACCTATGAAGCACCAGGTCTATTTTCCCATATACTCGTGCTTCATGCTATTCCTGCAAAGTAAATATTTTTACTCCCATTGCAGATGAGTCAACAGTCAGGATTTTATTTTGTAATTACTTGTAATTAGCTAAGTTCGGTGACAGGGAATTATTTCAGTTGTAAAACCTATAAAACTTCATGCTTTTTCTAATATAGTATCTCTTGAACAAATGAAATCTTTGAAAATGTAAGGCTTAAATTTATAAAAAGAGGATTAGACTGAAATTATTTCTCTGATTTCCTAACTGGCAAGTTATATAACCTTACTCAATTTTAGAAACTCACTTCTATCTGTAATTAAGGGTATTAACATCAGTATGTCTCAGAAAGCAGCAGTTTTAATAATAGCAGTTGATGTGTACTATGACATTTACTGTGGTATTTATAGGTACTGTGCTAGGTTCTTTACAGGTAATTCATTTAATGCTACCAGCCCTGTGAGGTCAGCAGTATCCCTGGTTTATTCATGGAGAACAGGCAGGCTAACGGGCATTAGGTAACAAGTGGGAAATGACTGAATCAATTCCAGTCCTGACTGATAGCAGTCTATACTCCACAGACTTTTAAACTGTAGGTTCCTAGAAATTATCTTTTGTTATGTATAACAGTAACAGTCCAATAATTTTGCTCAAATTAAAAATTAAAAAGACCTGGGAGGCAAGAAAAATTAGGATACAAACAGCCACTTCACCTATAGGACAGCAAATGTGCAATCCTGCAGCAGGCATCCAAGGATCTTTCCAACTATTTTTATGTAGGAGAAGAGCAACAGCATCAGAAAGTAATAAACAAAAAGCTTCTAATTCCTCACACTTGGCTTGTATACAAATAACACTTGCATTTGCAAGTATATAGCTACCCTAACTAGCCTTTCCTAAGCTGATTTGGCCTCTTATATGTCCCATCCTGCTTTCCAACTACTGCCTCTTGGTGCAGCCTGCTCAACAGCTCAACTTTGGCTGCATCGCTGACTTGACAATGACAGCCCTGTTAGGTCATTTTATTATGTTATTGCATCGTGGTCTTCCTTTATAGAAATGAATGGGGAAGAATGAAAGTTATTATACATGTAAGCCAAAGTCCTGATAATCCTTCAGCTCAGCCAACAACAGAAATCACAAGGGTCACAAAAGTGTATTTCTACTCCTCTGGACTTTGGCCACTTCATTGAATATCCGGATATCCACGACAAAAAATAATACAAATGAAGAACAAGCACAAAGCACTGGGGACACACCAGCTGTTGCTGACTGGAACTAGAGGGTGGACTATAACAATAACTTGGAAGTATGATTTTGTTCTCTGGTAATAACACTCCCATATAGCATGTAAGTCAACTGTTCAACTCACACACAAGCTTTAGGAGACACTGGATGATGAGAATTGAAGAAGTAAAGCAAAAAGAAAATGTAATCAAACTCATCTGTTCTATGAATTCTAAAAATGATTTTGAAAAACAGAAAATGGTTTGTTATTCTCCATCCAAAAGTTCATTGGAAACAAAGTGTTCTTCTCTACCATCATAATGGGTTTTGTTCAATTGTTTACTGCAGACATCCATAAATAAAAAGTCAAAAATTTAACCAGAAGCTTTTGTTCAAAATCTTTGCAATTCCTAAGGGCATTTCTCCAACGTATTACTAATGATCATCGTAAGAGATTTTCAAAGGGTATGGCTTTAAAGTTGTTTTGTTTCCCCAGAAATAAGGTTTTAAGTAAGGCAATTAAAAGAAACTGTATTTGCCCAAAATGCCCAACTTTAAGCCCAATTACCATAAAAGAATATTAGTTCTAGCTTCCACATCTGGAAGCCTAGGAAATTCTCAATTCTCACTTAAGACGATTCATGGGCAAAAACAAAGATGCTGCATTTGTGGATCTGACAGGGCCTGCCCCTGGCAGTGTCCTTGGAGGAAGCCATGCATTCCCCCTGCCCTTATGTGTGAGCCGAGGCAAGCGACGCTCCCTTCCACCTTCCAGTTGAGACAGTGAGTGGTCCTTGGTTTCACTGGCATTAGAAGTTACATATTTCATACTGATTTAGGTACTGAGTTATTATTGTATTCAGTGGCTACTCAGGGCTACTCAGGTGACTTCAGTGTTTACAAGAATCAGTTCAGTCTAAAAACTTAAAAATTTCCTTAGATGGAGTTCACTAACTGTTGTTATTGACCTCCCTACCCATGTATCCACTGAAAATTTAATCCACAGCCCTATCCCAAGGGGATATTTGGTGAGGTCGTGTTCGCTTGTCACTGTGCGAACCGTGTACCGCTATTGGATCCAGTTGCTATTCACAGTAGAGGCCAGCAGTGCTGCTGATCATTGTGAACTGCCCGGGACAGCTCAAAATGTCAACAGTGAGAGTCTGAGAAACCTGGACCTTCATGCAGTCAGGACACTGGGTACCAGTGAGGGAGCTACAACTTATGCAAGTCAGTGAATATGGCCCCTGTCCTGGTAGAGTTCAAAATCTGAGAATTATTACATTATATATGTAATTTTTTTCATCCACATAGTCTACACAATATTTATATTTAAATACTTTTATTTTCATTTCACAAAAAAAAAAGCAACAGTGTTTGCAGTTACACATGCCTTTGAGTCAGTCAGTGCTGGTCATATGCAAAACAAGTTATCAGAAGTATAAAGAAAAATAAGCCTTTTCCCTTTATAAGTGACACAACACAATTTGCATATATAATATTATATATATATATACTATTTTCAAAATCTTCCACAAAAGACAGATTATGATATAAATTTAGAATTCCACCCACAAGCTCAGATTCAAGGAACTGGAGACTTCTCTAGATAGCAATACAAAAATGTAATACTTTTGCAAGTTTCCAAGTAATTACTTTTCAAAGTGTTTGAAAGAAATTACCTTCACAGGAACATGAAACACTTGGCTTTAATCAAGACAACTGTAAGACTAAGTTTTGTCTCAATGTGAGTTTGTTGATTAATGCAAATGCTCCAATTACGCTGTAATTCTCATATATACACACATAAGTGTATTGTTGTACTGATGGTTTATATAGTTCAACTTCTGGAGCATTTCATTCAGCTAAGCCATGACCTGTACTTCCTTTGAAGTATTTCAAATTAGAACTGTTCAGAAATATCACTGACAACTACCATGACTAACTCTAAAAAGGTGCCCCCTTCTCTTTTATTTATGATCAAAGTTAAATGTGTCATGAATAAACTTTTATTTTTTCTACAGCAGCAAGTATAAGTAACAGCAAAGTATAGGCAAATTTTTCAACACTAGAACCTGAGTTTGGTATGGTAAGTAACATCTCTTTGCAAATTTTTTAGGAGTCCTATCACTCAATGTTTCTAAAAAAAATAATAATAATATGGCAAATCTTCAGCATTATAATCATTATAAATTGCAGAGCAAACAAACAATGCTCAGAAGCTGGAAGGAAGGGATGGAGGGAGGAATGAGGGGATGGATTTTACACATGCATTTGCTTTGAAACAGACAAATGTGGAGTCATGACATTTACAAGTGGATGAAGAATCAATGTGAAATATGATTGAAGAATGCTGAAAGCGAACATATGGGTCTCGATGTATGAAATGTGTGCAAAGACATACAGCTGACGAAGCAACATTGGCTTACATTGTTGATGCACTTAAAGATAACGTTTAACACTGCGGATGCTGAAGAAGAAAGGAATGAAGAACAGGAAGAGTCCAGCTGATGGAGAATGAGAGAGACGCAGCTACACAGGAGAGCCTGCCTTTCCCTAGTTGGGTGTTCACAGTTAGAAGTGGCTTGCCCCCAAGGTCTTTTTGGATTAGTTTTTGGGTCCATGTTGTCATTCACTAGAACTATGGCAATAACTCACAAGGTCCATTCCAAAAACCAGAACAATTTCTACTGGGTACACAAGAAAATGCTATTGATAAAACTGCAACAGACTCCTGTAGAAGAACCAGAATTCCAGGCTTCAAAAAGAAGCTGCTCTCAAGGGTCTTCAAGTGAGTTCTTGGCAGACGTTCTTTTGGCTTACCAGTTACTGAAAGATCAGTCACCAAAGAACTTTAAAAACACCTTCACGTGGCCTTGTCCTCTGGCCTTTCTGGAATTTCCAAAGTACAGGTCCTTTCTCACCATTTCATTCAGTTTGAATCAGTGTAAAATGCTGCATCTGATTTATTTCACAACTCAACCATATCCAAGTGTCACCTCCCATCTTATTTGCTCCATGCCTGTTGCTATTAGTTACACCACCACAACACTACAACTTTAAGTCAGGTGGCAGGGATTTGGTGGGACTTTATTTTGGTTAGACACACTTGGAGTCCTGCAAGGGACTATGCATTAAAGGAAAATAGTGGAAAAACAAAGATACATGTTTGTGTGTGTATTTTTATCTTTAAGGGCATATATCCTAAAGAATAAAAAAAAATAATCACAAAACAACAACTATCCTAGCTACTGCCAAACAAGCCAATATGGGAGAAAGGAAGTATTCTGCCACCCTGTGAAGCTCTACCTTCCTGAGGTTCCTACTTAGCCATACACAAAAGAAAAATGAAGTAACAAAGAATGAAAACATATTAGATGTATCAAGCATATTCCCCTGCCACAAATATAAATCCTCCCAAAACAAACAAGAAAGTAAACACTACACAACTATTCTACTAGCTACTGCCTACACAGGCAATGAGGGGAATGGGAGAAGGGAAGATGTCCATACACTGAGCCTTGATTTTCACTGGGTACCTATACATCTAGGCAAAGGACTAGGTACAAAATCAGTAACAGGAAAACATTTATATACATTTTTAAAAAGTTCATACCCTGCCCTTTTCCCCTACCCGCTACCCACCCAAACAATCCCTCCCTCTAAAAAAACAAACCCAAATTATAAAACTATTGCCTGTGTTAGGCAGTGAGGGAAGGGGAGTAGAGGAGATTTATCATACATCTGGACCTCCAAGTTTCATTATATACCTACAAGTTCCAGCAAAGAATTAAGTACTAAATGAAATAACATACAATGTAGTAAACATATATACACACACACACACACACCCAGAATTCCACACCCACAACCCCTTCAGAAAAAAGAAACCAAACACCTATTCTTCTGTCAATGTCTACCAGCAATGAGGGAAGGGGAGTAGGGGAGATTTTTCATAGAATCAATCTCAACCTTCACTAAGTACCTAAATAGTCATGCAAAGGACTAGATTCAAAACGTAGAGAATATTAAAAAGAGGTAAAAACACTTATATACATTAAAAAATGTATGTATTTTGCCTAACAAGCCTGTTCCTCATTAAAAACCTAAAGAACGGAAAACAAAAACCAAGCTCCAAACTACTCTGGTGCTGCCGCCCACGCACACAGACTGCAGAGGGAAGCAGAGAACTCCGACCACCTCTGGTCTGGGCCTCCACGTGGCACGGGGTATCTGCAAGTCCAAACAGAAAACTGGGTTTGGAGTGAGAGAAAAAAGCAGCGAACATTCACATACTTTAAAAAAAACGGAAACCCAGAAATCCCCCACTACCCTGCCAAAAAACAACAAAAAGCCTCTATATAACTATGCCAGAATCATTGCCCAGGCAGGCAATCAGGAAAGGGGACAAGAGGAGATTTTTTTCATAGAATGAACCTTAATTTTTTCATCATGTACCTAAGAATCCATGGAAAGGTCTAGGTACAAAATGAACTTAACAGAGAAAAGGAGCAAAAACATTTATATACATTTAAAAAAGTACATATTCCCACCCTCCCAGAGGAGGGAGTAATAAGAGTTAAAAAAATAATCTAGTCTACTCTAAGTAAAACTATTGCCCACAGAGGCAATAAGGAAAGGGGAAAGAGGAGATTTTCATACATCCGGACCTCCACGTCTCATTAGGTACCTGCACGTCCAAGCAAGGGACAGGGTACCAAATGAGTAACACACTATAGTAACAAACACTGTATATACAGTTTTAAAAAGTATAGATCCTGCCCTTAGTCCCTTCCCACCCCCTAAAACTTCAAAAACCTTTAAAAATTATTGCCTACATATTTATAAAAGAGAAAGAGAGAAGAGGAGATTGCTAAACATCTAGAACTCCATGGTTCGTTAGAAATCTATGTGTTCAAGTGAAGGACTGGGTACCCAATGAAATAATAAAGAAGTAAAAACATTTTTAAAGTATTTACCCCAATACCCACAAAAGAACCCCTGAAACTAATCAAATATTCTACAAGCCATTGCCCAGCGAGGCAATACGGGAAGGGGAGAAGAGGAGATTGTTATACATCCAGACCTCCACGGTTCATCAGGTACCTTCCAGTCTGGGCACCTAATGAGATAATACAAATTGGTAGTAAAAAACAAGTATATACAGTAAGTACATCTCTCTCCCTCAGGCGGCACTCCAACAACTACTCTAGCTGCTGCCACACAGGCAATGTGGGAAGGGGTCAAGAGGAGACTGTCATACATGGACCTCCACGCTTCATTAGGTACTTTCCTGTCCTATGAGAAGGGTGCAGGACCAATTAGCAATACTAAGGAGTAGCAAATTTATTTATATACATTAAGCTCATACCCCACTCTCTCCCATCCCACAAAACAGAATTACTCTATTAGCTATTACATAAAGAGGCAATAAGGAAAAGGGAGAAAGAGGAAATCTGTCATACTCTGAACCTCAATTTCATTAAGTACATATGCATCCATGCAAAGGAGCACATATAAAATGAAATACAAAAAAGTAGCATAATCGGTACATACACTTGAAAGACGATACACAACCCAGCTGCACCCAAGACCAGATCAGAACCACAGCAACTACGACTCCTGTGAGTCACTGTCCATGCAGGCAGCAAGGGTGGGGGTGGGCGACACCGTCACGCTTCCGGGCCTCCACGGCTCACTGGGTATCTACACAGCTATGGGGGGATGAAATCAATGCGAAATGAGACAACATCACAAAACAGCAGCAAAAACATTGGTATACATTTTAAAAAGAACATACTCTGATCTCCTCCCAGTATCACCATCTCCTTCCAAAAAAAGGAACTCAAATCACTCTGTAGCTGTTGCCCACACAGGCAATATGGGATGCTCAGAAGAGACTTTCATAGGACAGGATTTCACTTTTCATCAGGACAAAATTTACAGAATGAAAGAATATAAAAACATATCAAAACACATATGTACATTTGAAGAGTACACACTCCCAAAAAGCCATTCACAATCAATCAACTGTTCTGTCAACGACTGCCCGTGCAGGCAGCAAGGGCAAGGGAGAAGGAGATCGAGCTCCTTTCATTTGGTACTTACTTGCCGATGCACAGAATGAAGCACAAAACAAAAGAACCCAAAAAGCAGCAACAACATATACATTAGTTTTTTAGAGCACAAATTGGGGTGTTTTTTGGTAAGGGAGGGAAGCTCTTTAAAAACAGAGTTAATTCTAATTTAAAAAAAAGTAACAAAGGCCAAGAGGAGAAGAGCCACATCATACCTAGGCAGCTCAGGTCTCCTTCTGCAAACCCAGCTACCCTTGGCAATGAGACATCTCCTGAGAAGCATACTCCTTCCCTGTAGCCCCAGGAAATGCATGAAGTGCATGTGAGCAACAATCTGAGTGCAAATTACCGTCCCAGGAGCTTTAGTCTGAGGAGACTCTATTTCAAAGTCCAACTAACAGGCACTAGTAATCCAACCATCTCAGCACTTAGCTTTCATTTCTTACTTTCCAATAATCGGAAAGGATTCTGTTCTGTCCCCAGTAAGATTGATGCAGCTCAACTTCCTCTACATACCCAGCACTCTTCTGATAGCTCTTTTGTCCCTAAGTGGTTAAAGTACAATAAAATGAAAACATGAAGGGCAAAAAATATTAGTCAAGTAGAACCTGTGATGGTAATAAAGTCCATGAACACTGAGACAATGGCAAACAACACAATTTCACTTAGAGACTTAAAACAGCAAGGTGGAAGGAGGCACGAGATCATGGTGGAAGCTGACACCACTTGCAGTTTAATAGATCCAAACACTTGATATTAACAAAACAGACTGGACTCCTTAGATTTCTACATTCATAGTCTTTCAGATCTCCAAAGCACAACTTTTTGCTCTACAACTCCACATTTCCAATTCTGTCTTTCCTGTCACCTAGGATGACGGAAGTGCCTTCTCTACTACATTCACGAGACGATCTCTGCACTGAGTGCCCTACTTGTCAGACAAGAACTTCCTTGCGCCGTGGACCCAGCTCCTGGAGCAAAGGGCAAACTGACTGCTGTGCTTCCATCTATCTGAGTTCTCAGAAATACAGAGACAAGGAAGTTCGGGGGGGAAAAAAACCTTCAAAAGCTAAAATTACACTTATGATACTACAGGTTCTGTTACTTAACCTTATATTACTAATTTAGAGTTAGTTTTTGAAGTCCCATATAGATGGATTAGCATGACATTAAAAAATAAGGGAATTCTGTGGGAAAACTTGAGGTGAGACTTTACTAAAACTACACAGTATGGATCAGGTATCAGGGGAATGAGCAGCTTCTGAGTAGAAAGATAGCAACAGTTAATGAATTTCCTCTTTTTTAGCCCATGTTTTGATAAAATTTTACTTATAACAATACCCCCTGCCCACTACACACACACACACACACACACACACACACAGGGGAAAAAATGATGTGATTCAAAACAAGATTTGCCATATTCAGAGCTAATATATATTACAGGAGCAATGTAAAGATGGGCAGGAAAAACTGAAGAATCTTAACTGTTTTCGAGAAGTAGCAAAATTTAAACTCTGTATCAAAGTGGAATTTAGTAATATAACAGTAAAAAAACAGCAACAAAAAACACCCTCAAAAGTTTAGTATTTTTCCCCACTCTAAAAATATAAAAACATAATAACTTTCAATATCGACTAAATAATCATTCATTGACTGAAGCACAAGAGGAATAAAGACCAGTCATCCCAGTTTCGATAAGACATCTGTAGATAGTTCTGTGATTCTCAGGATATTTGCTACTCTAAAACAGAAAGATAAATGTTGTTTAGAAAATACTGAATTGGGGAAAAACACTAGGATTAAAGAAGGCTATCTTTTAGCTTGCCAATCTTTTAAATTTTGTTATATAAAAATATTTTCATAAAATAAAAATAAAATTTTATACACAATCCATGTATCCTTACTTTACACCTGCTGAATAAAAAAGATGACCTTTCCCACTGTCTCATTCTGTGGAGTGTTTTAAGTGCTTTCAAATGGGTAAACTACCCTTTTTATGTACAAAGAAGATATTTTCAAGCAAAATATAAAGTACTCAAGAATTTTTAGGAAGAAAGCTTTTCTTCTAAGAATCAAAGAAACACAGCAATCTAGGTATAAGTCTGCATAGCTCAGAAAATTCAAGTACAGTATTCCTCCTTTAGAAGGAGTAAAAATGCCATACAGTTTTGGAGAGCTTCCTCATTTTTCTTTCTTCCTTTCCTTTGCCATTCCTTTTAATGTTAGTTTGGCCATGATAAAAGAAAACTATGATTTTTCAACTAAAGAAAAGTACTGTTTTGGTAACAGAAAAAAAATCCAAAGCCCACCATATTAAAACTGAATCAAGTTACTCCTATCCTACATTCTCTTTATTCCTTTAAGGTACTGTGGTGAACTTCAAAAATGTTCAGTTTCTTAAAGGCCCTATTTAAAAATATGCTACTCTATCATATAAAGTGAAAACACCTACAGATATGATTCAGAAAGTGTCTATGATTTATTATGTATGCCAAAGGCAACTTAAACAAATCATATTCTTAGTGATAGAGTCATGACAAAAGACACCAGTACTAACAAAATGCTTGCCATAAATGTAGAAATACTTATTTATAACATAAGGTGTGTTTATGGCAGGGAGTGATAAAGGTGTATAGATTTGAAGAATTTGGATTTATTTGGCTTATCAATAAAACAAAAATTTTTTAAATTTGTAGCACCTGGCTATTATGCAGAAAAAGATATAGTAGTTACAGATCTCTTTTAAACTTTTTCCAGAAAACAAAGGATTAATCAAAACCCCAAACCAAAGTAGAGGTGCACACCTGAGGTCAGTGGGCTAGCTGCATGATTCACTGACTTTATTACCATACTTTTTGAAGCTAACTCTGTTCCACATTCAAATAACATCTGTCAACAAAAGCAACAAATGGCTGATAAACCAGAGCCTGCAGCGATGGAGGCACCCACGGCAGCTTTTTCCTTTTTCCGCTTTGTCAATACCTTCTGGGTAGTGAGAAATAGAACAGAATTCCAAAACAGATTTTTCCCACATTCGTGTATCTTCAAAGTAGAAAAATTACTCATTGTTTTTGTAGATGGTTGGCATATAGGTGAATATAATTTTGTAATAAATAACTACATACTGCCAAAAACTTTCTGAAAAGACAGATGAAAAATACAGATGGGCCCTGAGCTAACTAGAACTCCTAAGAGTGCAAACAACTCAGCAGCAATCTGGTGTCACCTTGACTTTTGCAAAAGCAGCAGAACCCAAGTTAACAAGCTCTCTGGATGGATGACAAAACGAGGCGCAGTTGTGCATGCTACAGCCACCATGTCAGAGTTTTGAGGTTCTTTTCCATCCACTGGATATTCAACTGAATGATTTCCAAAGCCTCCTGGACACAGTGAAGCCGAAAGGTTGCCTCTGACTGATTTTCAAAAAATGCCTGGACCTGTAAATTGCACACAGGGATTTTGAAAGAAGAAAAGAAAAGTAAATTTCAGGTAATTCTAAATATCCTTTTCAAATAAGCTTTAATAACTCAGCGATAGCTGTGTTAATGCCTTAAAAGAAGTAGACTCAAGAAATACTTTAATATTTGAGATGTTTACACTGAGTTCCTGATCAAGTATGGTGAAATCTTTTAAGTAATTTAAAAACTGAATTCCCCTTACTCTCACAAAGATGAATTTCTTAAATTAAAGAGAAAAGAAAAAAAATATGGCTAAGTAACAGTAAATGAGATAGAGTCTAAAGTTAGGTGTGAAACCCAATTTTACCTTGGAGTAGATCTCTTAAAAACAATTTTATTACCACTTAAAAAGAGACCGGTATATGATGGTCTTAATTCAAAAAATTATGTGTATCAGGAAGATAAGGGAATATTGTTGAGAATGGAATCAGAATTTTTCCTCATTGTTCTATGTATATCACCCTTCAGAAGTAATCTCAATGCAGAATCATTTGCACTGATGAAGGCAGGCAAGAGAACAGAGACGGGAATTGACGTGAAAGGGTACCATCTGACTTAAACTGAGCAGCCTGAGAGGAAAGGGTTACACGATCTCCCTCCTAGCATTTTACCCAACCGACCTCAGACAGATGTGCCTTTGTTGAAAACAGGTGTGTTGATCCAGCAACAATACTTTGTATGGTATAGGACCCCAGATGGAACCTGAAGAAACACAAATACAAGAGCAATAAGAACAAAAAAATGAGGCAACTGTCGGTAAGCGAAGTTCCTGAGTGCAAAGGAAATGCTTTACTGTATGTTATGCATACCGAGCTGCAGCCCCATAGGTCAGGAGTCCCACACACACTTACTGCCAGAGGGAGGGAAAAGTGGGCAGAAAAAGGCAAGAGTTCGAGATAGCCCAATAAATTATTAATCCATTTAATCTACTTAAAAACTACATCATATGCCCAGAAATGTCATTTTTGCTTTAAAAGAAAAAAACTTACATGTGCTATCTAACTGTGTGAGTTCTTACCTGATCCCTTGGCAATGAAGAGATATTTTTCAACACTTGTAACTAAATAGCTATTCTGAAATAGTCCATGGTTATTCGAAGCTAAGTGACCTGATGTCAAGCATGGTTGGGCTTGATTAAGACTCAAATGGAACACCACTATTAAATGACTCATGTTACGGAATTATGTTTACAAAGATGAAAATTTCTAGGTGTTTCAGTTAAACTGTTACTGAAGCATTTTATCTCTCAAGCAAATCGTAACTCCTGTGAACCAATACAACTCTGAGACCCTTGTTTCAAATAAGGAGCCTGAGAATATTAAAAACTAATAATTCTCTGAGAAACTTACTTCTGTACAAGCTTGTTCCAGTTTTCTTTGACAAAGTCCCACGCCAGCAAGTAACCAGGAAAATGTCGTCCCACTGTTCTAATGATAAAGGAAAGCTTTTGTGTTCGGATGGTATCTCCACTGAGGCTAGTCTTCATTAACCTAAACAGCAAAGCAGATTTAGCTTCCAGAATAATTATTCACAATGAAGTAATCACTGAACTTCAGTTAGAACCAACCTCATAATTAAAGCTTTACAGCAATTCAAGGGATACAAATTTTGGGTTAGTTTAAGATTGACGAATAGATTGAAAACTTGTCACTTTTTTAAATGAAGGAAGAACTCACCAATGAGATAATAAGAACTTAAATGTACTGTCACATAATAATAAGTAGTTCTTGATGTAGTAAGGACATTTAGGAAATAATTTCTTGTAGATAAAATTGTAATTCTAAGATAGTATTTTTTTTTCTGATAAAAATTATATTATTACTCAAAAAACTGAGTTACTTGAATGATGTGAAAAATGAAGATACATTTCAGAATATACTTCTAATATTAATAGTTAACATTTATTTTCACTTCATATGAACCAGGTAAACTCCAAGTTCTTCAAACAACAATGCTTGAAATAGGTAATTATTACCTAACCTCATTTTATAGCGTAAGAAATGTCCCAGTTACACTGCTAACCCATACTACAGCCAGGCATTCAACTGTAAGCAGTTCTCATCTACTATCTATAATATCTGCTTATAGTGAAAAAACACATACCTAAAAAAGAATGGAGCAGTATTTTTAATAGTAGGACAAATCCAAAAGCCTGTCAAGATGTGATGTGTTAACTAAACTGATAGAGCCATACTATGGTATATTATGCAGCCATAAAAACAAATGAGATAGGCTTTATGAACTGACATGACAAATCTCGAAGACTGGTCATTCACTAAAAAGGATGTCACAATACACTGGGTATGGTGCAAACCTGTATTTATGTATGTAAATTACAGACCAGGACTGACACTGTTACCAGAGAAGAGAGAATAAGATTGGAAGTGAAGGATCATATGAGAGATGCTTTCACATTTTATTCCGTTTTCTAAGGTATTGTTTAAACACTTTACAATGGGAACTTGGTGTATTACTAGTTTGAAACATAATTATTACTAATTTAAAAACAAAAGCTTTTCTTTGAGTCAGAGGCTGGCTACTACTTTAAAGAAAATGACTACTAACAGTGCATCATCTGGAAAGGGGTCCAGGAGGTGCTGAGAACATCTCTGGGATACTTAGGATTTATCTGAGCAAAATTATACAAAAGCAGCAAGGAGACCCACATGCCTCCCTCTGTTCTTTCTAGTGTTGACTTTCAAGATTCCTTCATATTTCTCTTGGCTGCTTAGCGCTTCTCTCCCCTGCTCTGACTGTTCTTCCTGTCAGGAGGCCCTATTTATTGCTCGTTTTTCCTCCATGTGAAACTCCCATTTCCGGCTCTTCATCAGCTGAGTATTAAAATGTAAAGTTCTGACAAATTCACATGAAGGTGTAACCTGTCAGCTTTTACATGTTACCTTTTTCTGAAGTGTCTGCATTTTCAAAAGGACATACTGGGTGGGAAAATGCCTTGACCAAAAAGAATGAAGCACTAACTGTGCAATTAAAGATAACATGCCAGGGGATGAAGAAGTTTTTAAGCAGAAACTAGGAGGGGGTGTGATTCTTGGCAGCTCTGAATCTCTTCTGGGCAAAGTACGTGCTGCCTCTCTGTACAGGTCCAACCCTGAGATGAAGCCCCCACATATATAGCCTCCTTACCACACTGTCCAAGTCAGGTCTGGCCTGTGAGTCAGGGGAGGAGAAGGGAGATCCCAGAGAAAAAGAGTTCTCCACCCTCGGAGCACAATGCTTTTACACTTTTGGCTTCTAGATATCATATTCCTTGGGTGGTTTCATACCAGTAAAGTTTCCGTACATCTTCTGAGCTGGCCAGAGCTTCAAGTATTTTATTCTTCTCTGCTTCAGAGCCTATAGAGACGTACTTGCTTAAGAGGAATGACCAGCCTCTCTCAGTTTTAGCTCCAACTTTGAACACAGTAGTCATGACATCAGTAGGCAGGCTGGAAGAGAGACGGTCGCATATGAGAAGAACAAGCTAAAAATCCTGAATACAAGGCAAGAAATTACTAGTGGTGGTGTCTCTGGGGTCACAGCATGCAATAATTAGAAGTCTTTACTATATAATTAATAGTTGAGAAAATGGTCATTTCACTGGCTGCTACTTTCCTAGTGATGTGACTATAAATATTAATTTAATTTAATATAATAATTATTCACTGAACCCCCATAAGAACCAGGCAGGTAACTGGCTAGATGCTGGGGAAGGAAAGAGGAATGAGACATCTCTGCCCTCTGGAAACTCACAGGCTATCACAAAGTATGGCACAGTAAGTACATACATTACAGTACAGTGGAGTCAGTTCCGTGGTAGAAATACAGCAGCAAGTGTCAGCGGGAGGGTGAGGGGAGCAGCAGCACAGTTTTCTGTCTTTATTAAGATCTCAGAGCTGGAAAGGACCTCAATAGTCTATCCAAATCCCCTACCCCAACTCTCCATCTGATGCTTGACTCTTTTTCTATAAAGGCCAGTAAGAAGCCTGGAGAGAACCAAACATCATCAAAAACACTTCTGCTAGCTGCAAACTCCACCTGAGGTTTTATTCCTAAATTACAAGAAACTTGTTTGATACTACACATGCCCGTGAGGATGGCTGCTAGCAAAAAACAGAAAGTACAAATGTTGGTAAGGATGTGGAGAGATTTAAGCTCTCTGAACTGTTGACTGGAATGTAAAATGGTGCAGCCACTATGGAAAGCAGTATGGCAGTTCCTCAAAAGATTAAAACTAGAATCACCACACTATCTAAAAATTTACCATTTCCAGGGATATATCAGAAAAAATTGAAAGCAGGGTCTGGAGGAGATATTTGTACACCCGTGCTCATAGTGGCATTTTCCTAAGAACCAAAAGGTGGAAACAACCCAAATGTCTATCAGTGGATGAATGGATAAACAAAATGTGGTATATACATACAACGGAGTATTACTCATTATATATATAATAAAAAGGACATTCTGACATATGATACAACATGGATAAACCTTGAGGACATCATCTTAAGTGAGATAAGCCAGCCACAAAAAGACAATTACTGTACAATTTCACTTACATGAGGTACTTAGAGCAGTAAACTCACAAAACAGAAAGTAGAATGGTGGTTGACAGGAACTGGGTGGGGGAAAATGGGGAGTTGTTTGGGTAAAGAGTTTTAATTTTGCAAGATAAAGACATTTTGGAGATGGTTGCCCAATGATGTGAATATACTTATACTGCGGAACTGCACACTTAAAAATTATTAAGATGGTAAATTTAATGTTATACATATTTTACCACAGTTTTCAAAAGGCAGCCTAGTTTAAGAACACAGGTACTTGGAGTTCACCTATGTTACCATTCAGCTTTGTGACATTTCTGACCCAGGATGAGAAGGTATTGGTGTCAGTAGACGCTGTGAACAAAGAAGAGGAAAAGAGTCTATCTGAGTAGAGGCATAGGTCACCTTTGAGTTCCGTTGGATGCCACCCAGTCGCTGAACAGTTTCATGGCGGCAGTGGTGCAGTTCTCTAGGCTGTGGGCACAAGCGAATTCCAGCAAGGCTGACCGGAGCTCTCTAACAGATGGTGTGCCCTCATCAGTCCAGGTCTGCTGCTGGATTTGGCTTTGAAGCAATTTAAATACCCTGGTCTAAAGAGACAAAACGGATTATAATGGAATAATAATAATTAGGACAGACAAGCTTGGATTAATACTTAGTCTATAGGCACACACCTGATCATCTACATTTGCCCTCTTACAGCACTAAACTATGTTTTCTACCTTAATCTTGCATCTACCTATCACTCCAGCATTTTATTAAAAACAATAATAATAATAATAATAATAATAATAATAAGGGAGAAATGTGGGATTCACATATAATCAGGTATAAAAATCAAACGAATATTCATATTTAACCTGATTGTTTATAGTTCATAATGCGTGATCAAAACCGAAAGTTTCTGTGATGACTGCCCATGCACTGTTCACCATGTAAGAACTTATTCACTATGTAAGAATTTGTTCACCATGTAAGAACTTGTTCGTTATGCTTCAGAAGATTGGAGACTGTTGAGAACTAGGCTTGGGGTTGATTAATGATTGTGCATTGAGTCCCCTATACAGAATTTTATTGTTGTTAACAACCATTTGATCAATAAATATGAGAGATGCCTTCTCAAAAAAAAAAAATAATAATTAGGACAGACAGAAAAAAGTCAGGACACAGATATCTTTTTGTCAACATTTATGTAAGGAGAAAAAAAGGGGCATAGACACTGCTCATTAAATATCAACTGACATGTGAAGCCCACATACAGCTGGGATGAAACCATTCAATAACAGGCTATATATACATAAGGCTGTCATCACCAGGGGGGACTTTTAATGACATAACAGAAAGAATTAATGACTTCTGTGCAGTAGGGACCTTTCTTCTGTATGTACTCAGCTAGAAGTTATTTTCCTGCCAAAAAGTATCACCTATAACACTGTTGGAAGGAAGTTGGAACTTCCTGACTTCATGACTTTACAATCCATAAATATCCATAAAACAATGAGAGAAAAATACACTTCTTTACTGACAGGCAGATGTTTAAATGTTTCTGGATATATTTGAGGGAGGTTTAAAATAGCAACTAGCTTAATGCTATAACAAGTTTATCTAATCAAATTATTAAGAAAATGAGACTGGCTGGGAAGAATAGTTGATTATAATTATTTTTACTCCCTGCCCACAACTTTTTATTTAAAAAATTTTCGAACCTACAGAAAAGCTATAAGAATAGTGAATACCCATGTACTAGATTTTTTTTTAATACTCTTAGATCTGTTTTGTTTCTATGTGCATATAACACACATATACACACACTTGTTTTTCTGGTTTTAGCTGAAGCATACGAAAGTAGGCTACAGATACAATATTTCATTTATAAATACTTTAGCACACAACTCATAGAAATATGAACATTCTCCTCCATGACCTTAATTCCTTATCACACTTAGGAAAATTAATTTATGTAGTAATATCATCTATTATTCAGTACATTGTTATAGTCACTTTTGAATGAGATGTCAATCTTAAATGTATACTTTTGGTATTAAGAAAACAACAAGTCTCTTCTCTTTCATCTATCCCCACAACAAAAGCATAGAAGCTGTTCACAATATATGGAAATATTTCAGTATTGGAAGCTGAAGGGCATGCAGAGGAGTGAGGACACATGGCATCTAAAAAACTCACCATATGAAACATGAACTTATGAATGCCACTAAAAGGAACAAAAAACTCTAACATAAAAATGCCAATAGGTATTTTTTAGAAAATCTTCATGGCTATAAATAAGGAGAACAAAATGAAAAAAATTATAGGCATGACCCGCCCTCAGGGTTCTCAGCCCCGGGAATTTCTTCCCCCTGGTCCTTCTTTAACATCACCACCGTCAGCACGTCTCACCTCAGGTAGTCAAGTACCACAGGTGCCCACATACAAAACTCTTAACCCAAGAAAATTCACTCAAGTTCTTCACAGAGCATCATATTCTTCCAGAGTACCACTGTCAAAATGGTATGAATCCTAGAGGGAGAGTTTTCAACTGCTGAGGCCTTTTTCTCAGCAGCTCTTCTCTGACGAAGTTTGCTATGGAGCTGACTATGAGAACGGGAGAAAGAATCAAGGTGAGGAGAAGGGCTCAATGTTTATGATAACTTGCTTTTGTTGGTTTGCTTCGAAAGCAATTAAATAGAGACCAGATACTTTGTGGAATGTGTGAGTCACAAAGCCTGCCAGTCATTGGGAGGACATGAGGTGGAAAAACACTGCCATGCTGACTGATAATGCAGGGAACATAAAAGCGGTGCAGGAGATCCTGCTGGATACACCCGACTGCACTGGGGCCTGCCGCTTCCCCCAGCCTGCCTCCTCAGTGGCAGCGCCACAGCAAACCACCCCAAAGGACTCAGGAATAAAATGAATTTTAAAGGTACTCATACCTGCCAAGTAGAAACAAAGGAAGAATGAGAGAAAAAAAAGTTACATGCTTGAAAAAAAAAAAACTCAGTAGAGTAAAATGCTCTTTGAGAGTTAACTAAAACATAAAAAAGCCAGTGGGAAGAAATGGCACTTTACAAGTACTGCAAGCAGGGGAAACATGACACTGAAGATGCTCACGCTGACTCCTGAGCAGCTACTCCACTGAATTACAGGGTGCAGCTTTACCAGCTGGTCCCTGTCCCAAAGGGTCAAGAGGAATTCCCAAAACAGCGTATTTTAGGCTGCAAGCAAATTCTTAATATATATTTAAATATATTTCAAGTGATAACATAATAGAATAAAATATTTTATTTAAATAGTAATTGTTTTTAGAAATTTCAGTTGTTATACAGTATCATTTTAGTAAGTAGTCCACGTTTCATTTCTAATATTAATAAACCATACAGCAAGTGCTTCAAGTTATCTTTCCCTTTTAGAAATAAAATTAAATGTTCTACTACAGTTCAAAATTAAATTTTTGAAATTTAAAGTCATTAAATAGAATCCAATCCTCTGATTTCCTAGGGTGAAAATGGCAAGGGGAGAGAGGGAATAAATTGATGGGTTATACAAGTTACGGACACTGAATATTTGGGGAAGGGATGGGGGAAGAAGAGACAGGCAAGATGCTGGCATTTATGTTACATACTACATTTTGATTTACTGCTTTAATTTTACACTGATACACTCAGGGAGCTCTTTCTTGGGTTAACTGAGTTTCTTAAAAGTGATGTGTCAGCTTTTATTGCAAAAGGTTTATTCCACCAATCCCTCATATGTAAAAGAATGATAGACTTAAAAGTGATGAAGCAGGAATATAGCTGGGATCAGATATTAACATCAATTGTGTTCCATCTGTGAATTGAACGCAATTCAAATGTGCCTTGGACCTCACCCACCACACCAGCACAGCATACATCACAAAATGTGATGCACAGGCATGTGTTACAGAGGCATGTGCAGCCTACCTACAGAACAAACTAATGACCAATAAATGTACACAATGCTCTGGTGACAATGACATAAAAAATTAATTAGACACCAGTCTTAATCACAAATACCATTTGAAATTGCATCCAAGAACTCAGAACTGCCTGGCATTCCACTCCCACTACAGTGTATCAGATTTCATAGTTTGAGAGTTTTGATCCTACCAGAATGCCCTAACATTAGAATAACAGAGAGGGTTTCTCCCTCTGGATGAACTAAAGCTAACCTACTACCTTTTAACTAACAATCGTATGATGATCTACAGCAGTAAAAGGGTCTGTGGTCCTACCAATACGTACTAAGCCTCCTGCTCTTGTCCTCTAACCATCAGTCCCTGGGCCCCTACCCTGAAGGATGTTCTTAATAAACACATACCTACCTACCCAGTAAACTAGAAATCATCATTTGGGATGAAGATACAGAGTTACCTGAGTGTCATCACAGAAAAAGTATTCAAAAGATCTAACTCCTTGAATTGAGTTCAGCATCTGTATTCTCAGCACAGGGATAGTTTGAGGGAAGTATCAAGTGCTTCCTGACACTAGGCCCTCAAAGTTATGGAGAGAGGCAGGGGGAAGAATGGCATCTGCCATCATGGGATTTAACTAGTTGGGCAGCTTCGGAGTAGGCAGATACCTGCCTCCTGTCAGGGTAAATTCAGTACCAACATTGTCCTCTAATAGGGAAAAATGTGAGTGATACGTATTAAAGCTATTTATTGCTACCTAGACTGGGTTGAATGGCATTCCTCCCAAATTCATGTCTGCCTGGAACCTGAGAATGAGACCTATTTAGGGAACAGGGTTTGCAGATGTGATCAAGTTAAGATGTGGTCTCATTGGATTATGGTGGGCACAAGTCCAGTGACCAGTACTTTTATAAGAACAGGGAACTCTGAGCACAGAAACATAGGGAAATGCCATGTGAAGGCAGAAGCAGAGATGGTAATGATGCATCTACCTAAGGAATGCTGAGGAGTGACAGCAATCACCTGAAGCTAGGAGTGATGCATGAACAGATTCTCCCTCAGAAGGAACAAACCCTGCCCTGCCAACACCTTGATTTTGGTCTTTCAGCTTCTATAACAGAGAGAATAAATTTCCGTTGTTTTAAGATACCAAGTTTGTAATGATTTATTACAACAGCTCTAAGATATTAGTTTACTACCTCAAATGGTATTGATTTGATATGGCACTAATAACCCCTAAACTAATTATAGAGACTCTGTAATGAAAAATATATGCATACAATGAAGGAAACAGTGCTGGATCAATTGGATATCCATACTGAAAAAAAAAAATCTTTCCATCTACCTCACAGCATATACAAAAATCAACTGCAGATGGATCATATATCTAAATGTAAAGGGCAAAACACTAAGTTTTCAGAAGAGAACAGTATCTCGGGGTAGGCACATTTCCAACATTAAAATTAAGAATTTATGCTAATCAAAGAAACATCATTAAGATAATGAAAAAGCAAGCCAGACTGGGGGAAGATATTTGCAAATAAACATCATCAACAAAGGACTATAAGCTAGAATATATAAAGAATTCTTACAAATCAATTAGAAAAAGGCAGACCATCCAACAGAATAACAAATGAAAGATTGGAAACTTCACAAAAGAAAACATTCAATGGTCAATAAACATATGAAAAGGAATTCATCTTCACTAGTTACTAGGGAAATGCAAATTAAAGCCAAAATTGTAATACCCCTATAAACACATCCAAATGGCTAAAAGGGAAAATATTTATTATTTATATTAAGCATTGGCAAGATTATAGAGCCAAATATCAAGAAGCTGACATATAGAAATCAAATTCTCATAAACTGCTGAAGGAATGTAAACTGGTAGTATAACTTTGAAAAATGATTTGGTAGTACAGTAGTATTAACTATGCATATGTTATGACTCAGCAACTCCACTTCTGGACACATACCAGAAGTGGATACCAGAATGCATACAGATATTCACCAAAGACATGTATAAGAATATGCATAGCAATGCTCCAAACTGCAAAGAACACAAATGTCCATCTACAGTAGCTGAGCTGGTTCATAAATGGCTCACTTCTTTAATATACTAACAGTAGAAAGTCTGTTCCGGATTCTAAGTTTGCCCTAAAGAGACCAGTAAGATTATCTGCATACTTGTTGGAAATGCACATAAAAACTGAACAAAAATATTATTACTAACATTATGGATATAAAATAAATCTCAAATAGTAAGTTGACAACTTCATTTTCAAGAGAACAACGATGTGTTTGAAACGTATCAGTTATAGGTTTCAACATAATGATTTGATATCTGCATATATTGGGAAATAATTACAAGAATAAGTTTAACATCTATCAGTACACTGAGGTACACTTTTTTTTTCTTGTAATGAGAATTTTTTTAAGACCTTTCTTAGCAAACTTCAAATATACAATATTACTCGTTTATTTATTTTTGTACCTCTTTATCCTCTTCACCTATTTTGCCTGACCCCCTGGCTATCTTGCCTTGGTAATAACCACCAGTCTGTTCTCTGTGTTTATGACTCTTTTTTTGTTTTCTTGTTTCTGTTTATCAGAAGTTTTGTTTCAAGACCATGTCATGTTAAGCCTTTATCAGCACTTCACAGTAAGTGGTGACATTTTAATTCAAAGTAAGGGTTTCACAACTAGGAAAGTGAAGAAAATGGAATATAACTGGTTGCTCTTTCAGCCTATTACAACTGAATGGAACTATAAATAATAATATTAAAGGCAAGCAACCAAGAGAAATCGGCAAAAAAAAACAGACTTACCACTAGCCTTGAGGCTAGATCCATGTATCCCAGTTTTTCGAGGAGGTCATAGATGAGGTCTGTTTGATACAGGGCTTCAGTGATGGGTGCTGTACAGGTCTCATTTCCGAGATAATCAATCAGATTAAAGGCTCTCTGGAGAGGAACCTTGCCTAGGCTAAAGGGTAAAAGAACAGGAAAGTAAATATGCTGAGACAGGCAGATGAACTGCGTGCTGAGAGAGAAAGTTTATGGCTAGTGGTGAGTCTTGAAGACCTAAATTTTAAGCTTAGAGAGGCATTTTGTAAAGTTAGACTAAATATTATTATCTTTGATTAAGTTCATGTGTGTGACCCAAGGTTAAAGACACATTTCAGGAGAAAGATAAACAATAGATCAGTTTTTATTCTGGGAGTCAACTGTAAATTTCTACTGATACAAGAAAAGTATTACAATGTCTTAGTAAGAAAAGATGAAGAGTACTAATTTTATTTATTTTTTAAAAAACCTTATTTCTTTACATATTACTTATTTTTACCAGGTCGTACAAAAGGATTTGAATCAGAAAAGAAAAACTGTCATTTGTAATTTATATGGGAATTTGTCAAACTTAAGGCAAGGTATACTGTGAACTTATGGTGAATTAATCATTTTACAGAAATCTTAACAATGATGGTTGCTGGATGATAAAGGTCATTTGATAAAAAATGAACCAAAACAGGAAGGTCAAGAGAAGTCAGAAAGAGCACTTTTGAATGTTCCTTGTGTCGTCAGACCCATCTACAACATAGACTGGTGATCTCCCACCATATGTGAGGCCACTGCCATTCTTGGCTTTGGGAATGTTATGCACAGGGTGGTGACGGAGGCAAGCTGGACAAATAAGGAGGCTGCAGCTCTGAGAGATGTCCCTCAAACCAGAAGGCAGGCACTAAACATGACTCTTAAACCAACTGCTGTTTGAAAAGACTTCTCATGAAATAAAACAAAGCCGGAACTCCTGCATCAATTTATTCAGCTAATATGTGTCTTGCTTATTGGTATTTACAGTCTTGAAATTTTATTTAAATCATGTTATTTAATTGCTCAATATGTTTATAGCTGATGTTTGTATATAGATTATAAAGCTCCTGGGAGCAAGGAATATTTCTTACACTTTCCCAATCCTCCAAAATGATTCTACCTAACAGGCAGTACACACTAGTTCTTTGAACTGTTTTTCTAAACTGTTCTTTCCCTCAATAACTTGTTTAAAAAAACAAAATCCCAAACTAGATATACTTTACCCTGCAAGTTCAAAGATGTTGTTGATGAGGTTGGCTCGATCTTTGTCACTCAGGACATATGGATTTATTTTGAGCTGTTTGATTAGTGCTTCCCAGTCTTCGTCTGCATAGTGTACAATATAATAGCCATTCATGTTTGTATTGACCTTGATCCACTGCACTTCTTCTGTGAGATTGATGACACCTAATAAAGACCAAAAAGTTAGAGAGAGAGAGAAAGAGAGAGAGAATAGGGCAAGAAAAAATATTAAATGGATGCTTTCTTTGTCTCAAAACTTTTAATATGGCATATTTTTATATTTAATTATTCTACTAAGAAACTAAATGCTTACCTCCCTGAGCAGTTATTTTCATGTTAATACAGATCACAGTCATTCATTTAACAATTATTTATTCAATGGTGAAAAAAAGTAGATATGTCCCTTTTTTTCTACAGTCTAATGTAAGCTGGTAAATAAAATATCATTTAAATGTCATCACTGGAAAAAGAAAATATGGTGTTCTATGGAAGAACCTAGGAGAAACGCTTCACCTCCCAAGGGAGGTTAGGAGACGTTTCTTGGAAGAAATGACATCTAAGTTGAGACTTTAGGATATACAGGTGTTAGCCAGTTGAAGAGGGACCCTAAGTGTTCAAGGCCCAGAGAGAAAATATACATTCTGTCACGCACTGAACTGGTTGACAAGCTCACCGTAGCTAGAGAAGAGAAGCAGAGAGAGAGAAGTGCATGTAGGGTGAGGCTGCAGCGTAAGACAGTGAGAGAACTACAAAAAATGTGTTCCATCTCAGCCTTTGTCTTTCATTACATTAGCAAAGGAAGAACAAACAAAGCTATTTAGAAAAGTCATATAATCCAAAGCTAGCAAAATAATCATCAGGGAAGAATTAAAATCTCATTAGGCACAAATAAATAACTGAGTTAAAACAATAGAAAAGTGATGTGCACTTCTTGGGCCCCTACCATTATATATACAAATGCTGAGAGAATCGTTAGAAATTTATATGGAATGATTTTAATTAATGCACAAGTAATAAGAAGTTACAAATATATGACTACAAAAACTATGAAATATAGGTAGAAATTTTTTACATCCTTAAAATTACTAATGAAGAAATATGCTTCAATGGCAACAAGGACATGTATTTAATATAATAGTCAAGGGTTTACTATTAATTAGAATATAAATTCCATGAGCTTACTATTTTCTTCACTGCTAATCCCTTAGCATCTAGAATAATGTTCCTAGCAGGCACTCAAAAAATACTTGGTGGATTAATGAATGAATGAACAAAAGGACTATGACATGGTTTCAAAGCAAATCTAAATAAGGTTTGTAGATGCTTATGATGTAAGACTGTTCCATACTTTGAAGTAAGGAACACTCATTTTTAAAATGATAAGAGAAAGAAGAGATCAGAAAAACAGCCTAAACTCAGTCAGTGATAGCCTTGTGGGGTGTATGTCCTCTAAGATTTCTCCTCTACACATTTTAATTGATGTAATATTTTGTACAGTGGATCTATATGCATTTAGTCTTTTATTGCTTTTTCACCTATGAAATTCTATCCTCTGCCATTTTTCTCTTATTTTCATATGCAGTGTTCAATTATCTTCATAATATGAAGAATATTATCTTCATAGTATTCTATTTCAAGCCCTACCACAGTTTAAGCAATTCCCTATCTAGAAATATTTAGGATGCTGTAAAATTTTCACTATCATAATATTTCTATGTGATGGCTTTTGCACATAAAATGCTTTAGAAACACATTTAAATACTTCAGTCCTGAAGCCTTAGGGTCTATCAATTTCAAAAGCATGAATTATTAAAATTCATCAGAATCTCTTAATACCTAAGTTACTCCAACTGAACTGAAACATGACCTATCACATAATTGGTCTTTCTCATTAAAAAATTCCATACTAATTTCCATGTTATTGGTGTTATAACAACAGATGGAAAATATCAATTACATTAATAGTTTATTCCTTTTTCTGCAGCAGAATGCAGTTCTAAGGAATAAATGTGATGGCAACAGTAGCTGTTCCAAGTTGAAGACATTTTTTAAAAACCTATGACAATGAAATTAACTTTTTCATTAGCTAATGCAAAAATGGCATTCGCCAGGTCACCAAACACAATTTCCTCAACGCTTTTTATCAAGAAAAGATTTTGTAAATAAAGGACTGAAGAGCTCCAAATCTCCCTTTTCCAAAAAAGGAGGCAAGAAAAGATAACTATGGCTATTTTTCTACTGGATGGTGTGGGAAAACACTGGACCATCTTGGCTGATAAGCAACCGGCTGTGTTGTAAACCTAGCCAAGTCCAGATGGTAGAAAAAAGGAGCGCAGCTGGGAGTGTACTTGAAATTATTACTGTCATCTTGATGACATAATATAAAGCAATAAGGACAGCCAACAGAATAGACAGGAGAGTTATCATTTAAAAATTAACATATTAGTTTCTTTTGGGTCTTCTGAATGATCCAGAATGGAGGATCTTAAAACCACAGACAAAAAATAATAGCCTTGCACACAAGGGAGCAAACTACATTCTGCTGCTCAAATGTGGATGAGGCCACCCTCAGATGTCCTTAATTTATTATAATCATTAACAGATTAACAGTTCAATTTTCACAATCCAGTGGGTAGTAAAAAAGAGCGAGCAACTCCAACCTTAAATGGCAGAAGCCCAGATGAAGTAATCTAATAGCGATCTTGAAAAACCATTGGTCATTGAGTTATGAAAATCAACTCAACTACTCTTTTATAAAGAAACATTACAGCACAAAAACAAAAAACATGTTATTATTACAATGTTATTATTACAAAGTAGCAAAATTTCCCCTGCAGTTTGCCTCCAGAGGGCTAGCATGGTACATGCAGTTGAACTGTAACTCCTCTTGTTCAAAAGTATTCCTTTCTCCAATACTCCTTTCTTCACCTTTATTTTATTTTGGGGGGGAGGAGAGAAAGGGGGGAGATGGCAAGAGCAGAGAATGGCACATGATAAATATCTTAATTATATGCCCTTCCTTCTTCTTCTTTTTTCCAATTGCTTTTCACTCCAATGACATGTCTTTTAGTTATAATGAAGTATTTATGGCACAGAGGTATCCTTTTTAGAAACATGAATGTTTCAAGTTAGAGTTAATATAAAAATTTCCTATAAAGAGCTTAGATCTGAGTTAAGATGTGGATAAAAGGAGGAATAGGAGGGAGGGAGAGGGGAAAGGGTGAGGAAGGAAAAGAAAGGCGAAGGGGACACTCAGTTTTTTAGTATAATTTCCTCAGTACATGGCTTGAAAAATGGACCCTTTCAGCCCTTCTTAGGCACAATTACTAATCACTCAAAATTGAAGTATATGGAGAAAAGTGACAGTGATACTGACCAAACAACCCCTACATTTGATGGGACTATTGGACTAACCCAGCAATCCTGGCATTAGAACTCATAGAAATACACTCCAAACTTAGCAATCACCAAGATAACACACTGTACTAAAGTCATGTGACATAAAATAAGCCTTTGTAGTTACCATCTCTGCTACATTTCTTTTGAGAATAGAAAAAAATTAAAATGCGGTAAAATAAGATTGATTGTCATTGAGCAGTAGGAACCAAGAATACCTAACTGTCCTCAAGAGCCAAACATTTTTTGTGAGGACAGAACTTTTTCAGTGTGGACTCTCCAAATCTGAACTGCCAGAAATTAAAGCAGTAGCATCAAGGGAAATAACACAGTTGAGAAGAAGAATGGACACTTTCATCATGTATTGGCTTAGTTTCAGCTCTAGATCAGAACAGTTATGATGCATTTCAGATATTCCTCTTTAAAAGAATATTTTCAGGTGAAGGAGAACAGAAAGTGTCATTTCATCAGGCTTTGAAAGCTCTTTTCCTAGAACTTGCTTACAGTGAGATTTGAAATTGAATCACTTCATTATAGATTAAACTTTATTCATTCAATAAATTTTTGCATGCCTACTGAGTGCTACTGTTGCAAAAGTGATTCATATAGCCATAATCTATCTTCAATGGGGGACATATCTAATGTGAGGACAGATATAAGTGAAACAGTACTTACAGTATATTAAAAGTAGAGAAGAAAAGAATTTTATTAAAACACATAAGTAGAGCATCTAATTTGCCTTGGGGTGAGGGAAGGCTTCCTGCAGCAAGCAATGGGTGCACTGAGATCTGAAGAATGAACAGGAGTAAATCAGGGGAGTCAGGCAGTAAGAGTACTCCTCCAGGAGAGAATATGGCATTCAAAAAGGCCCAGGGACAGGAAGCAGAAGGCATGCTTGAGTTGCTGAAACAACTTTTTGGGCAGCAAAAATATAGAGTGCCAGGTAAGGACTTATGAAACAAAAGGCTGTAGCAGGAAAATATGAGCTAGACTGTGCGGTGTAAACATCAAAAGTTTAAAAAGCTCACATATAAACTGAGCTAAAAAAAAGTAAAGAGCTAATAAAAGTAGATTTCTTATTGTCCAATTATTTAGAATACCACCCAAAACTTAAATACTATTGGAAGGTTTGCAAAATTTCCTCATTGGTCCCTTTTTCAAAAGAGGAGATAGAATTACTCTCTCTTAGGTCAAAGACTATCTATTCAGAGCTCACTTAAAGTATGGAGTTTTTTCATCAAAGAATGCAGTATTTCCTTGTACCTCTAGCTACACAACGTTAATCAAATATATGGTGACATCATCAACTGTTCTTAGTTTTTTAAATAATGAGATTGTTGTTGAAACATGCTCTAGTTAAATTGCATCATATATTTCAACTGGCATTACAAATTGTTACCACACAGAAGTGCAGCTTAGAAATATGTATTAAATCACAAAAAGTAACAGAATTCATTTTTGAGAAGCAATCCTATGAAAAAGTTCGTATTATGGAAAAATATTTAAGAGATGGTGGTGTTTTTTGGAGACAAGGTGAACTAAGAGTCTAACAATAAGGAAACATTAAGTCAATTACTATATATGTTGCTGATTAAAAAAATTTCACTCCCTATGTATATGTGAAGTTTAAAAAAAAGGCAAGAGAAAGTAATCACATGTACATGATGATATGAACTAAGGGAAAAATATTTTTTAAATGGCTATAAAAATAATCATGACAGTAATTATGATAGGGTGATAATATTCTCCATTTTCTGTACTTCATGTGATGTGGATATGTTTAAAAATTTTTTCAATAATAACATTAATAATAATAGCTAACATTTATATAGCACATAACACTGCCAGACATTGTTCTAGGTGCTTCATATAAATGAACTCAATCCTCATCATAACACAATAAAGTAAGTAAGTATAATTACTATCTGCAGCTGAAGGAATGAGGCTCAGAGAGGTCACATAACTCACCTAGCATCACACAACTCAGCCAGCAGGCTAGCTCCAAAGTCTTTTATGTTAACCACTAAGCTACACTGTCTTCTCAAAAATACAGGACTGAATACCAGTTTCAAACTCAACCAAGAAAATTACCCTTTCAAAAAATCTACAGTATCACTAATGGTTCTTGCAGAATCCAAAAGACTTATGTTCCTTCAGGATATAAATTAAGAAGATACATGGTGCGGCGTTTGTGGTGGTATTTAACAGATGGTCAGAAACTAAATTTCAATGGCTTTTTATAGAATCCTTGTGGCTCAGCATATACAGTGTTTACAGTTTATTTTCCCCCTCCTTGCAATCATAATTTCTTGCCCCATTTTCTCATTACAAAGAGATGTATACTATATCTACATGACATTTTGTAATAATAATTTACTACAAATCTAGATTAAGAATCATCCTTCATTGTACGTAAGAATCACTTAGGGTGCTTGTTAAAATGCAGTTGCCCCAGTCTTCCCCTAGAAAGTAAGACAGCAGAGCAGACTTTAAGAAACTGTTCTACTTCCATTACTTACTTCATAACATAAAATATTTATCTAGGATATAAAAACATAGCACTGCCATTTTCTAGGAGAGCAGCTAGTACGTTGAGAGTGCAACTTCAATACAGCATTTCACATGACTAAGAAAGGTCAGTTTTATGCATGATACATAGAATCAACCTCAGTTTCATCACTTCTTGTACAGGTGACTCATAAAGCCAGCTTAGAAAGTCTGTGCACTGGAGTATGATCTTTCTGCTGCTTGGTCAGATTTTTAAAAAATAACACTGTTTCCAATTTCTTATCAGAAAGGTGTTAATTATAGTCAAACCTGATTTCTTGTCCAGTAATGATATTGATGGATTTTGTGAGTAATTTCTTCCCTCAGTGACATAGGATATTGGAATATGCCACAGATAGCTGTAAAAAGAAAATATTGGAAGGTTATTAGTCTTTCCAATATTCTAATCAGTTAACATAATTTGTTGAGTCTTTTTTTGGCAGGAAGATGAAATTTTCAATCGATTCCCAGAAAGAGGTAATCTTGTTAGGTTTCATAAGAACCTATGATTACAAAACATTTAAAAATAATTTCACTTGAGGGTGCAAAAGAGAGAGAGCAGGGAGGGAAAGAGGGGATGCACCTTGCATCCGAAGGCTGAATTTCAGGCTTCATATTTGAAAAGAATCTTTCTTGTTGTATAAGAAGTTCCTTTCCTTTTCTTTGAACAGTCACTAAAGGAAATCCTTTCTGCAGGGTCCAGGTTTTCATCATTTTCTTTATATCTAGTGTTTTGTTTGTGACCTATTAAAAAATAAATTATTTTTGTTTTAAGATAAACAGGGAAGAAACTTAATAGTTTGTACTTAACCCTTTTTGCTACCACATTCTATGAAGACTACATTTAATGTTAATATAAAAAAGAAGCATGTAGGCTGAGTTGAATTTACATTTATAACTTAAGTAAATGAACAATTGCTAAAAGGAAAGTAACATAGAACAGAACTAAGTGATAGTTAAACTGCTGAGAGGCACTAAGTTGAAAAAGCGTATATACCAACCATGTCATTAATCCCTAAGAAGGTATACGCACTCTTTCTGGTCACAACACTACCATTTAGAAGGTATGAATAATGATATACCCTACACTCTACAGTCAGAAGCACTGCTACTTACTCCTATGAATCAGTTGAGTCCAGATTTCTCTTTATTCCCCAGACTGTCTGCTTTTGTAAATGTTAAAGTTCCTCTTTTATAGAACTAATACTGGGAATGCCCAGGAGCACAGCAGTGTGAAATATAAACAGGTCTGTTGCCTTGACTTTAAATCTCTCCAGAGAATAGTGGTAAACTTTGATGGTCATAGACCTTTTCTTTCCAGAAAATACATGACCTTATCTACAAAACCTGGAATCCAGTGCCAGACGTTCCCAGACACTGTACAGCCCACTGTCCCTAAGACATCTGCTTTTAATGATTAAAAAGCAATTTTTGAACAATCCTCTCTTTAAAGCAGGTGAGTTAAACCTGTGATTCAAGTTATTTTTCTAGATTACATATGGATTTGAATTGCAAGCCACTAATATCATCAAGTACTTAAAGTGTTTGGTAATACCACTCCACTATGGCAGGCCTGACCTTGATCATCATATACCTATTTATTTAAAGCACAAAAGAATAGAACAAACCTTCCCAAGTTTATTATGGTATTCATCTTATATTTCTCATGGCTCTGACCTATTTATTTCTGGACAAGGGGTTGGGAAAAAATAAGCTTGCCCAAAAGCAAAAAACTTTTGGGTCTTTCAACTGGAACTGAAATGGGGAGACCAGTGCATAATTTGATGTGGAGGATGAAAGACCTGAGGATGACATCAGACACTGGGTTGGGATAGGAAAATACTGTGATGGGAAAGATGAAGTCAGTGGGGAAAGCAGAAATATATTATAAATGCCAGCAGATAATACAATGCATATAAAATAAATGATGTGGCTTCTAATTCAATGTTGCTACATGATAGGAGGAAAAACAACTCTTTGGAAGCAACTCTTAGGTAATAAGGACTGGTCCCTCTTCTCAAAGAGAACTGAGACTAGGGAAGTTATATCTTCTGGGCAAAGGGTTAACACGCAGAAAATACCAGGTTTCAGATAAGGCAAAGAAGCAAAAAAAAAAATATGAAAAGATCCAGATTAGAGGTTCTTAACCCAGGTCCATAAAGCTTTCAAACAGTGTGTGTTATTTTGGATATATGTGGTTTTTCTGGGGAGTATGTCCAAATCTTACACCACATTTTCAAATACACCTGAGATCTTCCACAACATTAAGAACCATTGATCTAGATCAGGGTGACAATGTTTGTAAGGGTTATGCAGTCAGCATATATGCCCAATGCAGGCTGGTTCACGCACTGCTATGAAGCATTACTTGTACCTAACTATACTGCTTGTCAGAATATTTGCAGGCACAACATAATCCAGACTAACAAGATGATCCAAGGGCAGCATGCAGCCCGTGCAGCCAGTTTGCGATATATCATCTAGTCTAGAGGAACATGCCCACATAAGACAGGAGGATTCATAGGGCAGAGTGTAGAAAAAAATGATGAATGGGAGGTAGAAAAAAATGCAAAAGCGTAAGAATAAGAGATTCTTGAAAAAAATCAAACAATGAAAATACAGTAATATCCACTAATTCTGAAAAGACATCTTCCCTAAAAAGTAGGAATGGAAATTAAGGTATAGAATAAAAATGGCTACACAAGTCCACACACAACTGCCTTCAACAGTTAAGACTAGCACTTCCATTTCTTGACTTTTAATTCTGTGCTATATTCATAAATATTCATATACTAAGCTCCATCCCTCTCCCTCTTAAATAACTATCCCTGGTACCCTAAGTTATTTACACGTTAAAAATATAAACAGAACTCCTCTCTTCTTACTTTAAGGTCTAAATAAAATATCCAGGTTACTCACCTCATTAAAACTCTCCCACAGATCATCACTTTGAATAGATGCATAGCTATGATTATGCAGGTAAAGAATAACAGCATGTTGAAATACATCTTCACTAAGATAAGTTTTCAGCATCAACAAGAGAGAAGCTCCCTGTCCAAAAAAAAAGAGGTGAGAAAGGGAAGAAAATAATAGGATACAATAGGTTTCTAGAATCAAGAATCAAAATTCAAAACAATCATTCTAAGCATATACTTTCATAAATTGAACTAAGTTATAATACACTGTCATTTATTCTCACATAACCAGATCTGAATTGTGTTGAGATTGTCTTAAAAATGTTAAGGGATTTGGAAAAGAATTAATGGAGTTAGATTCCTATGTGCCCTAATTCTTCTCTGAGCTATTTTGTGGTATCTATCACTTACTCACTGTTTCAGTGTTAGTGCTAAGAAGTGAAATGTTTATAAATATATTTTTTAACAGAAAAACAGGCCAGATTTTCTGCAGCAGTCCCATCCTTATTCCCAGTACTTAAAATACTGGTTGAATCCATGGGCACATTGCTTGTGCAGAGCTCTCAGAAGTCTCTCTGCTAGAAAGCACTTTAAATTTCCAATTTTGTTGTATCACGTTGCTGAAGAAACCAAGATCTCTCTTCTTCCTGCAGAGTCACTTCAAACATATTTGGAACTAACGAATGTGTAGGGCAGCATGCAGACAGTAATTATTCAGAATGAGGCATGCAACTCTTAGGGCCACACTATATTCAATGCATACTGTCACTTCCAATCTTCAAACAACCACTTCCCCTGCGAAGCCTTCCCTGACTGGAGATAGAAATCAGTATTTCTCCATATTCAAAAATAACATATCACTTCCTGCATCTGCTATAGATACATATTTATTTCCTCTTCTAGACTATGCTGGTTGAGGGGAAAAAATGAAAAGCTCAACTTCAATGACTAAAGCAATGTCTGGTACACAGTAGATACTCAAATTGTTTTTGAATGCATATCACTTCTGATAAAAATGTAGCAATGCTAAGACCTCAAGATTATCAGATACACATAACTAAATTTAATACCTATTATTCTCTCATTTCTATATCATACTTCAAAGTGTCACTTGTCCTATAAATAGAAGTACTCAGACTTGTTCCCAACAGTTCCCCTTCTCTTTGGCACCACTAACATTCCCTCTCTACCCTACCCTTCCCATTAACAAAAAAAGGGTAACAGTCTTCACTTTAAACAAAGAAAAGATGCCCATCCTTCCCTCAACCCCATGCCTCCTCTGGTTAGTGCCCAATTTCTTGTTTTCCCTCTTTGTAGTAAACTCCTTAAGAGAGTTGTCTGTATTTGTCATCTCCAATTTCCCTCTTCCCATTTGCACCTGCCATCTTCCAACCATCACTCCACTAGAAATGCTTTTACGAAGGTCCCTGGTGAACTTCATGGTGTCAAACCAATGTCAATTCCCAGGCTCATCAAAATACTAGTACCATTTGATATGACTGATCACCCACTCCTTGGAAATCTTTCTGCACTCGGCGTTAGGGCACCACTCTTGATTCTCACCCTATTCACTGGCCATCCCTCTGTCTCCTTTGCTGGATCCTCATCTTCCCAAGGACTCAATTTCGGTATCCCCTGGTATTTAATCTTTACACCTCTTCTCCTATAAATTTACTTTCTAGTTGATCTCCTCAACTCCAGGGTTTTGAATGACTCCCAGATTTATATATCTAACCAGACTTTCCCTCTGTGTTCCAGACTCATAACAACTGCCTGCTTGGTATCTCTACTTGCATATTTCAAACATACTCAAAAATTGAACTTCTTATTTTCTTTTGCCCCAAATCTACTCCTCCAATAATCTCCTCCATTTCAGCAAATAACAACTCCCAGCTACTCAGGCAAATATCTTGAGGGAATCCTTGACTCCTCTCACATTCCATATCTAATCCATTAGCAAATTCTATGGATTAGACTTTATAATATATTCCAAATGCAACTATTGCTCATCACTTCCACTACTGTCACCCTAGTCCCTGCCACCATTATCTGGCCACTGGTCCATTACAACAACCTTCTAACTAGCTATTTTGACTCCATGTGATGTTGAAAGTTAAGTGTCTTTTAAGAAGTCTCATACTATGGCACTTCCCTAGTCAAATGGATTTTCATTTTACTTAATATATAATGAAGGTCCTCCCCATGTCCTATCAGACCCTACAATGATCTAGACCCCTATAACCCATCTGACTTCATCTAGTACATTGGGGAAGACCACTGATAAGGTGATACACTACCTGGAGGATGTGAAGGGGTATGAGGCTTGTTGATTTCTGGGGGAAGAATGTTCCAGGCAGAGGGAATAACCAAGGTATAGGGCTTATGTGCAGAAATGAGTTAATGTAGCAGGTAATATAACAGACTGCTATCCTTATAAAGGCCTGCCTACATAGCGGCCACTAGCTGGTATCTGGGACCTTGGATTTTGGGAGAGTTCCCACAGTCCCCTGACAAGTACAACTCACTGTGCTTAAACTGTACAATGTAGTTTATGCTAAACATCTCTTTTCCTTCCAGGAGCCTGGAATTTTGGTATGTGCGAGGCCAACAACTCCATGACTAGCCACTAATAAAAATCCTGGGTACTGAGTCTCTAGTGAACTTCCTGGTAGACACCACTTCATACATTTTGTCACAACTTGTTGCTGGGGAATTCAGTGCACTCAGTCTGACTCCACTGGAGAAGCCTCTTGGAAGGTCCCTGGGCCCCCCACTGAAGGGTGTTCCTGGGCACCCCACTGAAGGGCGTTCCTGGGCACCTCACTGTAGGTGTTTGACTTGGTATCCTCTCTCAGAAGTAACCCACAGTGGTGAGTATGATGATACACCAACTCCTGTGAGTACTCTGAGCGCATCGTCAACGCTGGGACTGGTCTTAGGGAACCCACCCAACTTGAGAGGAGAGACGACTTGGCATGTTCAAGCACCAGCAAGGAATCAACATGTCTAGAGCAGCACCAGCAGAAGAAGCTCTATCTTATGTAAAACAGCATTTCCCTTGCCACCCTCATTTCTTCACCTGCTTTATTTCACAACAGCACTTATTGCCAACACAGTACCTATTTAATCACATTCATTTGTCTACTGTCTGTCTCTATCTGCTGAAACGGAAGGTCCGTGATAGAAGCAACATAGTCCGCCTTGTTTCCTGATGTATCTCCATCATCTAGGACACTGTGAGGGTTGGTACTTGTAAAACATGCTAAATGAACAAATTCTCACAAGACAACCCTTGTCTTTAGGCTTTACGGTTAAGAAGACCAACTAGAGTATGTCTTTCAAACACATTTTGCCTACTGACACTCATTTCTTGCACACAATACTGGTAAATTATCCAACGTCCTACCTTTCTCCATTATGTAGGTTATTTGCCAGATTCCCAATTCTGGAATAAGTAGTTATAACCCCATAATACAGGGGTTATGCATGCTATGGAGACCTCAAGATTAGAGGACACTAAATTCTGGGCTTAGAGGGTGGGGGCTGGAGGAAGACACAGCTCTGTACCACCAAATCCTGAAATAACTGCTCTGTAGAAGAACAGAACCACACGTTTTAAAGCTTTTCTTCACTGATAGTTCCAATACAGGCTTTAAGAATCACAGCAGTAGCTGTAATTGAAATATACTTAATATAACAATTTGACCTCCTGATTTCCTTCCTTGTTAACAGTACCAGCATTCTCTCTGCCAGTCAGGCCTGAAGCTCCCTCCTCCTTTACCTGCCCTACCCTAAGCTTTAAGGGCTTTTTTCACACCCGGCATTCTCCTTGCACTCTCACTATCACTTCTAATTCCAAATTTTCACCATTTCACACTTGGATTTCAGCAATTTTCTGACTTTAGGTCTCACTCCATTTAAATCCACTTTATAAACAGAAACAAATTAGTTTTTGTAAACAGTAACTTTAATCAAGTCATTTCTATGTTTGAAAATCTTCTAAAGCTTCCCATTGCTTACAGGAAAAAGTTCTGATAGCTGACAGCTGTCAGGGCCTTTACAACCCGCCTGACCCTTCCTCTCATCTTTCCCCCACTCTACAGGAGGCTTCCGGTGCAATCAAACATTTACTCCCTAAACAAAATTCCTTGCCCACTAGTATTCCTTTTTCTTTTCAGACTTCATTGTCCCATTCCTGCCCTACTTTACTCTCCTCATTCCTCTTTACCTGTATTCTTCTTATTTAATTTCAATTCCTATTTTCCCCCAAAAAATTTCTCCTCATAATCTCAGGCAAAATCACTCTGTACCATTCATTTAGCACACATCATCGCTTGTCAATTCACAAGTACCCACCACCTAAACTTTGGGTTTCTTGATGACACAGACTGTATCTCACATGTTTTGTGTATTTTCTTCTTTCACAATTTATTAATGAATTAATCTGATAGCCAGAGTAAGGAGGAAAATAAGCCATAACATTCACCCCTCCTGCCTACACAAATCCCAGTACTTCTGTTCTCTGACCTGTGGTGATCCTAATCAGGTTTCTAGTTTCCTGACTTTCTTTACTCCCAAAGCTGGAGTCTATCTTTCTGACCTGGCATTCCAGTCTTCAATTCTTAAAAATCTCTTTTGCTTACATGTTTTGGCATTCTGACTTAGGAACATACCTCAGTTCTGAATAACACAGCTAAGGAAGGGCTTGCTTAAAACCTCCCTGGACATACTCTATCTGTAGATCTGGAGAGTGAACCAACTTTAAAAGATATAGTTCTGTAAGATCTGGTTAACTACTTAGCGTACTAGTCAGAAAACTTAAACAAGAGGCAGAGAAAGAAAGAAAAATCCAGAAAAAGTTAAGACCAAGATCCAAATAGAAGCAAATTAATTTAAAAATTTAAACAAGATCCCTGAAAGTAATACTCATTTAATCTTTAAAATAATGTACATAATGCAGCTTGTTCATATATGTGATTAATTTGAAACCTACTCCAGGTACTTTTTGTGCATGGCAGTACCTTAAAATAGGAAAGAGAATCAAACATTTCTTCAATCTGTTCTGAAGACTGAACAGATGATGACGATATTGGGTGAGATGAATTCAAGGAATCTTTCTTCATGGTTTTAAACCGAGCATCTAAGAAATCTTCATACTAGCAAAAAATGAAACTGATTAGGAAATCATGAATAGTATCTAAGGCAAAGCAAGTACTATACAGCAATTATTTATATGAATTAGTCTAATTACTGCTTAAGGTTCTTATAAAAAAAATAACCACCACTAAAATCTGGTCATAAGAATAGTGTGACATTTACCTATATTCCTTAAATTCAAAAATAAAATTATAACCTCTTGGCCACATGAAAAACCGTGCTTCCTAAACAACAGCCTAAGATGAATTAACAAACTATTACTAAAGCATCCAAATGCCAAATTGAATTTTCAAGATGAATTTTCTAAACAGATTAGTTTATATTTTAAAAATAAATCTAAAATTAATAAACAAAAATAAAAACTGGTCCATTAAGCTGTTTCTCATATATAGTCCAGGTTTTCTATTAAGATAATACACATTTCCCTCATCTAAGGTTCACCTGGAATAAAATGTAACTTTTAAACAGAGAGAAATTTTTGACAACTCAGCAGATGAGGTCTCCTAGAATATATATTAGAAGTTTTTAAACATTCTGGGCACCACCAAGTGGTGAAACTGTATATCTCGTTGCTTAATTAAAGAACATAGATTTAGGATACGTCGCTTAGCATTCTAGTTAAAATGAGTTCCTTCTATCACTTGAAATTTATGAACAGCCCTAACAGAAAATTCAGATTGACAGCTCTAAGAGCACTCCTGTTTTGAAGCAGTCTTGGATCATATATCCAAGAAATTTAATAAAAAGTCAGAATTTTAGGTTGAAAGGGCTCTTCATGCTTTCCTACCTATTGCTTGAATTATTTGACAATATCTGTCATATCATGGCCTGGTGTGTCCAAATATCTCTAAGGATAAGAAACATCTCCAGAGAATCTAATAACACAGACAACATTATTATGTGCTCTATAACAGAATGGTGTTCCAAGTCTTTGAAAACAGCACAAAATATGGTTTGTACTTCAAAAGAGCAAATTAATTGTCTGTATCAACCTATGTATCACTGTTACAAGAATGATCACAGTAATAACAGAGAGACAGCATTGCTATGAAATATCTTAATCTCTTCTCTCTTTATACAGAGGATAATGAGTTTTGTTTTGCAAAAAAAAAGGCTTTTTAACTCAAAATTTCTTCAAGCAGAAAGGTCTGAACCTATTAAAAATAAAATGTAGCAAAGTGATTTAAAGTTTTCATCTTAATGACAAAGTGTAAAATAATTTCACATAATTTCAACTTTCAATAAAATATATCAGTAAATAAAGGCATATTTTTCATTGTCAAATCTTGAGAGGTATAGGTATCAATAACAAGGGTCAGTTTTACTGCATCTTTCTAGGTACATTTTCATTGTTCCAAATAGTAATTGCATGGGAAATATGCCGCAAATATGACTTGCCTATTTTTCCCCAGCATTCACAGTTGGCCTTAGAAAACTACTTACACTGGAGAGTTCTTTAAATATTTTTTCCAAAGAGAAATACTCCGTGAAAGTAGCAAAACCTTCATTTAGCCATAGATCATTCCACCACTCCATTGTTACCAGATTACCAAACCACTGTGGGGGGAAAAAAAAAACCACTAACCAACACAATATTTACATTCTCAAGAATTCTCTAATAAATTGAATTGACAGATCAATCACCTTTAACCAGATTACAATACAAAATACAGTTATTACAGTTAAACTATGTTCAAATTAAAGACTTACTAGATGCATAAACTTATTTTACAAATAAAATTAAAATTTTAACATTTTACCTTAGTTGAATGGGAAGACAATCAAGAAAGACAATTAGCATACTTATCAATTTAACATACAAGTTATATGTTATTCAAACAAAAAGTTTTTAGCTACCTCAATAAAAGTGCAATTTCCAAGATAATGTAATTTTCTTCTACCTTCTAATATCAAGTTAGTAGTTTTATTTTTCATTGTCTCAACAACTATCCATGACAACTAAAAAAATTAATTTCTAAATGAGAGATTTTCCTATATTCAGAGAGCCCACACTCCACGTTTCTCCTCAGTTACCCGAGTTGAGGACAGTATTTACATGATCCAAAACAGAATGCAAACAAGATTCCTTAAGAAAGTTGGCATGCATACATGTAAGTGAAAGCAGAAAGATCTTTAAATACCTTCTATAAGGTAGTAAGAAGGAAAAATAATGGAAGACCCTCCTAAAACAATGAATCCCATAAATCCCTAAAATAAGGCATGGTAATAGGGTATGCAATTTAGTCAGTGAGGTGTAGGGCTTGTCTCAAACCAGTAGCAAATGTTAGGGTTACAAGATAATGAAACAAAACATTTTGAAAGTTACAATAGCGTATTTTTTAAAGGTACTATCTTAAAACCTGTTTCAGTGGAAGATGATTTGTAAGTCCTAAAGTAACAGAAATACTCTTCAAGTGGTGATGGGTAGCCTCAGAAATAACAGACCCAGGGAAATCCCCCACAAGACAACTTGTTTACATGCCTAAAAGTAGAATAGTAAGTAAGTATGTGCTTCACATGTCAGCTTGTTATGAAGTCTTCACAGGGAGCTATAGGGTCATATACCGACTGTGCTGAAGATAGGGAGTAAACTGCCCAGAGCATGTCCTACTCTTCTTCCATATCCCCCCACCATCATGACACTCCCAAACCAGACCCAACACTGATAAGCATCTCATCAAGGGCATGAGAGAGCAGGTGTTGGGGAAGAAAGAGCCAAGCTCATGTACCCATATAATTTTCTTTCTTTTTGCTCATGTTATATAAAGAGTGCCTTCCCCCTCCCAAATTAATAAAAGAACCCAGTTCTAGCAGGAGTTAGACAGATGAAAGAGAGGAAGGGACGGATGGATGGAGAAAGGATGGAAGGAAGGAAAGAAGGAATAAATAAATATAGTCCTGACAACTACAGTCCAAGAGGTGTGAGAATAGAGTGCAACTGAGGGAACATGTTTCTCCCCCATACTGAGTCACACTGAGAAGGTGGCATTTGTCAGAGGTGAAGCTATGCATTAATTAGGGGGGGAAATACAGTGAGATCTTGATGACAGAGTGGTTCTTCAAGAACCAGGGCTGCCACTTACCAATGCTGTGACTTTGGGCAAGTCATTTACTTAAGCTGCTCAGTTTCCACATATGTGAGATAGTTTTATCACCTGCCTTACATATGAAAGGTAAGTGAGATAATGGATATAAAATTGCTTTATAAACTATACAATCGTATACAAACATTAGATGGCATTTTCATCTGAAAACTAAGTTTGTGTAAAAAGCATCATTTTATTATGGAAAAGGCAATGCTATAATAAAAAGATGAATTATTACTAGCCTCTAATTCTACCCTAAAACTCTAGGATATGAAATAGACAACAGGTATATGAGATACAACAGTCTTGGTTGCTCATACCTGATGGGACAACTCATGAGCAATGATCTTAATAACCAGTTTTCTATCCGCCACTGAAGAAGTGTTGCTGTCATACAGAAGTGTCTCTTCTCGGAAGGTGAGCAACCCCCAATTTTCCATTGCTCCTGCTTCAAAGTCAGGGATAGCCACCAAATCTGGACATAACAGGAAAGATGTGATCAACCTTCCCTCATTTAAGGTATCCCTAGTCAAATTAAAATATTTTATCCATTGGTTATCACTGTGAATCAGGAGGCAGTGAGCTCATTTTATACTACTAATGAATAGAACCTGCCTCATTCTAGCCTTTTATGCTCCTCACCTGTCTGTCAGTTAGGGAAGACCTGATCAAACCCCTGTGGCGTTACTGTTCCTCTGTCTCTTAGCAAACAAAGAGAGACCTTATTCCTTTATAATGAATTAACTTCTCAGAGCAAGGCCAGAGTCCAAGGGCTCTCCTCTTGAATAGCACTGAAATGCTTACTTTCCTGAGCTACCATTTCTCAGTTATCTGAATCAGGAATTTCTGAGGAAGTTAGAATTAAGTCAAATACCAGACTAAGCCCTAAATAAATTCCCATTTACACAGCACTTTTCTAACAGCCTCATAAACTTCTAAGTGTTTTAGGCTCCACATTCAGACACATTTATGGGATCTAAACAATCTTAACAAACACAAACAATTTTAAAGCATTAACAGTGTTTCATGGTTTTCTTTTCAAATAACCTCAGCAAAAGGTTTTTCTAAAAAACATTTGCAAAATGAATCTAGGTTATAATGGTAATGAAAATCAGAGGCACTGTTTGAATCTTACCCAGTTTCTTAAGTGGGTATCGAATTTCAAAGTAGTTTTGATAAAAGTCAAGAAGCTTCACAGTTGTTTCCAAGGCATAGTGAACTTGACCAATCTTTTCTGGTACAGCATATATAGAAACCTAAAAGGAAAGATTTATGTTGTAAAGACAGGTACAACTAAAATTAGCATGATATTCAGGTGAACACCGAGAACTGCACAGAGTTGCATGAGATTTCTCAGGACAGAAACCCGTGTTTATTGTTCTTTTGGGGCCCGCAGTTTTGCAAGTCATTTCCATACATACAACAATGTTCAAAAAACTTACTGATTCCCTTTTTTTAAAAAGTTAATACAACATCCCAAACAAAACATTCTGGACCATATTATAGTAATTTCAGCATTTGCCTATTTAATTTTATGATGCTCTTCTCTTTCTCTCCATTATCTACAGCTGCCTTTCCAGGCCTATCAGCTATCAAGACTGTGAATTATTTGAAGGACAAAACTAGGTTTTCATCTTTTTAGCACCTAACACAGAGCCTGGCATTGAGCATACACTCAGTACAGAGGAGTCATATTTTTCGAAGAAGTTAGTTCTAAGGTAAACACACAGCCAGAAACTGTAAATTGTTGAAATTACCCTGGAAAAACCTATTAAAGACCAACACACGGTCTTTCAGTTAAGTGTGGCACTGCCAGTTTTTCTTCCAGCCCTGGAACAGCATACTTTTCTTCTAGATATTTGCTTGTTTTTATGGACCATGTTATATAAAAAATTAGCCGACTCAGCAGAAGGAAACCTTTAGTGAGCAGCACCTGGCCACCGAGACCAACTAAGGGGACAACAGGCACTGCTACCACTTCCCATGCACTCCAGGGCCCGTGCTGAGGGGGAAGGTGCATGCAAGCACCCATTTATTCAAACTGTTTTTCTTTTTCTCTAAGAGGATAATTAAACACATATGTGACTAACTGTAAATGTCGTATTCAGTAAACATCAAGATGCAAAAATTCAACTATATTAAAAGCCATGGGTTTTAAAAAGCAGTATTTATTTATTTTTCAATTAATGAAAAAAAAAAGCCCCTCTATACTCAATGGGGAAAGTGGGATGTAGACAGGACATAGCAGAAAGTTAAAACCTCAGAATAGATATCTCAACAGGTGGGAAATGGAGACTTACTGAATAAATTATCTTTGGACAAAATACACTGGTGAACTCTAACTCCAAATTAATTTAGCCTCCCATTAAAGGATGAAAAAACTTCCAGTGATGTCTAAGAAGTCAAGTAGATGTCAGCTGAAACTGCCTTTATGTGGGGTTTTGGTCTACAGAACATATGCATTAATCACAGGGCCATGGAAGCAAGAAGGCATAAAAATTAAATGTAAAGAAAACAAAATTTTAAAAGCGAAATTAAATGTACAGGCTGTGTAGTGAGAGTGGGGTTCAAATCTCTGCTAGTTGTGTGACTTTGAACAGGTTAACCTCAGTCTCCCTATCTCGAAAATGGGGATCAACTAGCTCCTATCCTCACAGGCCACTGGGAGGGTAAAATAGGCACTGGCATTTGGTGCTGGGTCCAACAGCTCCCACACGCATTTCTGTCCATGGATGGAGGACAAACTGTTGTTGGGGTGTGATGACACAAATGAGGGACATCTTGTTCAGCCATGTTGCTTTCATCTAATTTTAATCAACTTAAATTTAAATATCACATAAAGCTAGTGACCTCAGTCACTGTATAGCAGTGTCCTAGAAGCTCTTTTACACAAACGTTGTCTCAATCAAATTCTCTTGTAAAAGTAAAATTTTAAAAAACTTGAAAATCATTGACTTTCAGGTATTCAATTAATAATAGTAAATAAGTAAAAAGTAACATTTCTTGTATAAAATGTCAGAGTTGTAATTCAAAAGCTTGTTTTCTTTCATAAAGCAGTTGCCAGAAATCATTAAAGAATTCCTCTTCACCTCTTGTGAACAGGCTCCAAGGACAATCACAACATACCAGGGTTCCGTTTACATCCTGACTCAGGTTCTTCATCTCCCCCACGAGGAAAGCGACCAGGTACGTGCTCATTTTCACGCTCTCGGAAAACTCATCCTGAACAAGCCCATCTTCCATAATGACTGATGACTTCTACAAAAAAGGGGGAAAAGATGACAGCTCTGTAACTATGGGACAAAATGACAGTGGCAAACGGAGAAACTGAAAATTCAAATAGGAAATAAGAAGTGAAGACGCTGGCATGTCTTGATCTCTCAGCACAAGTTTCTAAACAGCATGGCCCTTACCTCAGCCTGTTCTACCACCCTTCATCATGAGGACATACTGAGCACAGTGAAAATTCTTAAGGAGAATTTAGTCTCAAAAAATGGCTTTAAATAAATGTAAGTCAGAGAGCATAAGTAACAGTGGTTCTGTTTGTCCCCTTTAAAATACCACCAGAACCAAATCCCTCTTTCCGACCTAGAAGTGCCCTGCTCTGCGGCTACCATGTCCACAAAAGGAGCTGTGGCTGCGATGTCCTTCCAAGGATCTGAAATGGCTTTTGAAGTGCCATGCTGACAGCCCCAACCAGGCCCCGTGGGATCAGAGGCAACAGTCACTCAAGAGCCTGCAGTGGGCACAGATGAGGGAACACAGGCGACCTTGCGGGGTTTTCCAACCATGAACTAAGTAAGGTTTGTTTTGGGAGACTAGACAAGTAGGCATCCCACCTTTTAAAGAAAGATTAAGGTGAAGAGGACGGCTAGGAGAGGAGCTGCGTAAGTGACAGCCCTGCTGAAGGACGGTTCCAGTTCCCTCCTGCCTACAAGGATCGACACCATAGTCTGTGGGAAGTGGCTGCTCCTCTCCCCTGCGGCCTAGGTTTGGAGAGGTCTATCAGGCTGCACACAGCTCCTCAGGGGTCACCAAAAGGATCTCCTAGTTCTGTTTAGCATAAAAACAATTCTGCTTGGTTCATCCTCAATGCCTCCCCTGCAGAGCTCACATCCAAGAAAGAGGTTGGAGTTCTTGTTGTTATACCTCCAGGTTCCAATGGCTATTTTTTCATAAGCAATAAAATACCAAGGTCAATTATGACTCAATACTACCAAATGTCACTGTTAGAACAGCAAATTCACCATGTCTCAGGAAATATCACTGCAATCGTTAGTACTAGTTCACACAGGACTAATGTTTGTACAACTTTAGTATACAGCACACACGTCACTGTTCCTTCCCACACATTCCACATCCAGCAGGTCTCACCTTCCTCAAAAGCTCCCCAGCCTGACTTCCCAATTGATTGCAATATATATTTTAACTTTTACCTAAGTATTTTAAGAAAGAGTAAGAATATATGACTTTAATCATTCTCAACAGTATCGCAAAGGGAAATTCAAGTAATCATAACAAAGAAAGAGACCCACTCAAAGATTTTACATTCTAGGAACAGAACAGTACCTTAGGCATATTTGATAAAGCAGTGTATTGCTCATCCCTTATGATCTTGATGATAAATGTAGCTTTAAATGCTGGTTCATCAAAACAAGGAAAAGCGGATCTTGCTGCCAAGGGTTCAAACTGAGTTGCTGCAAAGTACCTAAAACAAAGGCAAATCCATCCAACAGTTATTGAGCACCTACTATTCAAGGCACCTTGCCAAGTAGGAGGCATACTAAGGTAAACATCGTACAATCCCAGCCATTAGATCTGCAATCAACTGGGAGGCGCAGAGATTAACTGCTGGATAGAAACTTCTCAGGCTGTAAATCATGTCACAACAGTGAAAACAAAGCAGGGGAGACAAAGGGTAGGAAACAAATTCTGACTAGCAGTTGAGACACTGTAAGGAAACTGGTGACATAATTTGAGGAGGACCTTACAAAATAAAGAATATTTGAAAAGGTAGAGAGAGGAAGCGAGTATACTCCAGCAGAGTGAGAAGCACAAGGGAAGAGAGACGTGTACGTTCAGGACTGGGGTGCCCAAGGCGGCTGGAGATGGAGCCACAAAAGGTAGGCTGTGATGGGTCACTGAAATCTTAAAAAGGTTTCTGATGGAAGATCAGTATGAAAGTGGTCATTAATTAACATTAACCATCTGTACAAACTCTGGCTTTAAAACACTAAACCTCAAATTCACAACTTGCACTTTCATGACAACTAGAAAAAACAGGTTTCCAGGAGTATGCTGGTTTTCTTTGCTCTTTCAGAAATGCATCAAAAATGTCCTCCCCTGTCCTACAGCATAGCAACAAGACTTAAGAATTTAACTCATATAAAAGGCCTCAGTTAGAGGTTGTTAGAAAAGCACAAAAAGAAAAAGAAATTCAGATTTTCAACTAAGCAAAGGAATAAAACTTCAGGGCAGGTGCAGACCTGGTGTGCGTACTTCAGGCACTAATCGATAGGGTGCATACACAGCCACCTCTCGGAACAAATCAGCCTCATTTGCTTAGGGCTTAGTTTCCACTTTTAAAAGATAAACAGAAAAAAGTGGGGGATTTGGAGTTAGAACACCCAAATGCTGCAGTTACCAGCCATTTGACTTTGGGCCAATCAATGGACCTAATCTCATTTTCCTTATTTATTAAATTAGGATGGAGGTAGGATCCCTTGCAAACACCCACAGTTTCTGTTAGAGTCAAATAAGACTATTCATAATAAAAACTACTTGGTAGGCCATAGAGTCCACATAGATGTTTATTAAGAATCTTAGAAACTCAGAACTCTTCTTCCACACTTAAAATTATTGTACTATTTTCCTGGTAAGGATTTGACCAAATAACTTTCTGTTGGGTAAAACTCAAGACAGCAATCATAATACGCAAAACAATTTAAGCTTGTTAATGTTTCTAACATTGTTTCTTCTTCACCCCACTCTCAAATTCTTACCAGTTAACAGAACATTTTGAAAATGGGCCACAAGGGAACAGCAGATAAAGTTTGATGATATCCATGTTGTTCACTTAAGAGAGTTTACTTGGACCCATCACTTTGAATAGAAATAGGATCATAGTTCTCTAAGATAAATACAATCTTATTGTTAAAAGAGATGCAATAATAATTATCTCACATAAAAGCCCCTTTGAGAAGCTGCTTCCTGATGATACTTAAGAGTATATCCCCTCTATGCTGAACAAGTTGAAACTTATTCTTTCATTAGAGACTGTATTTGCTTTCAGAAATACTAGCTGCAGTTTGAGCACTACCTCCAGGAGTCCTGAAGACAATTATGAATGGTCAGGAGGTCAGGAAAGAGAAGTCCAAGCTCTGGGGATAACACTGGGCAGAGGAGAAGAACTAGGGAGGCACACATCACAGTGGTTAAGAATGCAGCCTCTATTAGAATGGCCTTGGGTTTGGGATCCTCCTCTGCTCCCTGCTGGCCATAAGATATTGGAAGAGTTACTTTATGTGCCTCTCCTCCTCAACTGGAAAATTAAGAGAATATTAATATTCACCTTTTACTGGGTTTGACAGGATAAAAGACTAAACATACAAAGTGTTTGGAACACTTCCTAGCACTCCATTCTCAGTAAATAAAGGCCATTATTATCACTGTAATTCAGGAAGAGCACATGGAGTTCATTATGGCAGGAGAACTGGGAAAAAATAAGGGCAGATCTGGTAAGACTAAATAAATCCTGGGAGAAATGAGGAACTGCTAAAGGATCATAAACCAGAGACCAATATGGTCAGATCTGTACTTTGAGAAATAAGAGCCTGGCAGCAAGAGGCTGGGGAAAGCAGTGGTGCGAACAGAGGCCAGGAGACCGGTTAAGAGGGTACTTTAAGAGAATTCAAGAAAAAGACACTGAGAGATTGAAGAACAAAGAAATAAAACACATGCCCACCCTAAATTTGTTCACTAGTTCTTTTAGTATCAGTTATTACCTAGAACCTGAAGTCTATCAACTTCTAGATTTAACTGCAAGGTTACTCACCACCTCCACCTCTTGGGTAACATGGGCAATGTTCCCCCCCACAAGCAGGGTCTTTATGTGTTGTCATTTACATATACTCTGATTTTCCAGTCAATAAGGAATATACCCCTTAATTATTTAATCTACTTGTTTAAGTGACTATTCTTAGCTATACCTCTTGAGGGAGCAAAAGTTTGCAGAAGTCATCTAATAGAATTATGCAAAATTATAGGTCTGAGAAATACAAGAAAATTGCTTTGAATTATAGTTTTCAGACATATACAAATAGTTTTCAGACACCTTGAAAGGTATAAATAATCTAAACTTTTCAACTTGCTTTGAGATATATCATCATGTGCGGCATTCATTTTACTGAACCAGGTAGGTTAATGGATTTATGTATGTTTTTTCTAACAGCAGAGTTTCACAGACTATTTTAACAATTAGAAATACTATTTTTTTAAATACTCTATTTCTTAATTTTAAGATACTGTTTTCCATTCTTCTCGCACTTTCACAACTCAACCCAGTTCAAGGCAAAAGTCAACAAGTGACCATACTAAAATTCACCTTAGTCTGCCACTCATTTCTTCCTCCCATTATATAGCGGCAGGCCCAAGGGACTCCAAGGGCGATAATCTGACTGGAATAGATAATCAGGGAATATGTCTTAAAGGTTGTTTGCATACTATGAATGTCATTTTTATGTGTCTACTGTAATACCTAGAGATGTTGGAGATTATAGAAGAAAAGGCCAAGAAGCCCTGAGCTGCTCCTGCAATTCGCTTTTCATGTCAAATCTCATGCAAGGGCCAGCATGCCATTCATTTCATAAGAAAACTGAGTTATCTGAATAGGACTACAATCTTGCTTTGTCTCTTTCTCCACTTAAAAAGGGTCAAAGAACTTCCTTTAGATTTAAAATATTAATTTCTATTTTTTTCAATATACCAACATACACTAGCCCAATGGCCAGCATCAGCAATTCACATGCTGGTTTACAAAGTAATATGAGACACTGCTCAGCTGCATTAAGCAAATCTAATAAGGACTTTAGTGCACATAAGAGAATTGACATTATTGCTTCTTAGGAATCACCCATACACAGTGTGTGTGACATCTTTACAGAAATTTGAACTATATGCTATGAATATTAAGATTAAAGTACAAAATATAGTCTAAATAAGGGAGCTAAATACTTTCACGTTTTGAGTCACTATCTTTAAAGCCAAATTCTTTCCTAGATTTTTTTATATTTTAAATTTATTTTTAAAGTTTCTGTGAAAATAGGGTATCTTTTTTATAGACCAGCAAATATTGAGGATACAAAAATGATATATTTAAGTGTACAACACTTCACGCTGTCTTTCTCCATCTCACTAAGCACCTCTAAAGGTTCTGCACATTAAGAAAATAAGTCTTGGAGAATAATCCCTACTCTTCTTTACTCTGCTTCCTACAGAGACCTTGTAAAGTGATAGAAAACTAGATTCAAGTTAAAAGATATGAAAAGTTCAAGATAACTTAAGTCTTCATGACAGAGAATGTAACTGACATAATCTTTTTCCATTTCCTTTCATCAGCATGTTCCCACCCCTACCATAATATATGATATATGCTCAAGGCTCGACTAATATAGAGAAATAATAAACTCTTCCAAATCGCTCTTCTATTTTGCACATAATCTCTTCAATTTAAAAAACTGCAGTTAATTCTTTGGTGTGGCAAAGAGATCCACATTGCAAAAGTCATCACAAAGCAAAGACGCAGAACCATTTAAGAAGACTACGTACTTTTTCTTATTATTTTCATCTGTGTAGGAAGTGCCATAAAACCCATAGTAAGAACTAGATATATTTGCCGAGTACTCTATCTTCAAGGTATAATTGTGCCCTTCAAGAAGGGCTTCAGGGGCAACAATGGCAATCTGCTCATGAAACGGATATTCCAGGACCTCAACTTGTTTCTCTTGGCTTGAAACTGCTGACATAAAGGTCACTCTTGAAATATTATGGCCTGTGCTGTGAAGAACGATATTCCATGTGGCCTGAAGAGCCTGAAGTGAAATCATCACAGAACCCCTGAATGTCATCGAGGTCAGGTTGGGGTGCAGGTTAAGCTCGTAGCGTAGTGGCATAATGGCAGTGGGAAGCCTGATTTGTGCCCATGGAAATACCTTCCCATTTGTTGCAATTGGCTGAATTAGTCCCATTGATTGGTTTTTTTTATGGCAGCCTTCTTTGGTAAAGGTACATCTGGGCAGTAGATAAATCACCATGATTACAGAAACAGCAATCACAATGACAAAAGCACAGACCACCACGGTCCTCACAGAGGGTGCCGAGCAAGTCCCGTCGGGGCTCTGCCTGTAGCCGGCTGCACTGTTCCGAAGGCCCGAGCTTCTGTTCATAAAGGACATGCCCAGCAGCTTTGCAGATGACTCGTAATCCTCTTCATCCTCATCCATCTCATGCTCACCAAGACCCCGCACTAGCAGTCGTGAACCCCGGGGCTCATATTCCACTTCATCAGGCTCTAGAGGATGTAAACAAGGCTCTTTGGCTAAATCCACCACATCTGGTTCTTCCTCAAACATGCTGTTTTCAATCATATTCCTGGGGAGCTGAAGCAGATCTAAAAAACCAAAACATAAGGACAAGCACAGTTAGAAAAATAAAAATCTCATAATAAAATGTCTACTAGCATAAATCACATTCAACCTCAGAATTTTTTTTATCATTAAGACATTTTCATCTTAGAGCTACTGAATTTAACAAGATGCTTATAATTTTCTTGTATCATCCATTAAAAACTCAAGCATAAATAAAAGCATACCACAGAGGCAAAACAAGAAGCTAAATAAACAGACTAGTATATCAAAAAAAAAAAAAAAGGGCAGCTGAGACTAAACACTAATTTCCTTACACTTCCACCCTTGTCCTGAGCTTTAGAGCCTTAGAGGGCCCTGCCTCAGCCTGCCTCTGACTCTGTCTGTTCCACAGAGAGAGGAGGCAATGAGATCAAAGAGACGCTCTCACCTACAGTCCATGATCCCCTCCTGGGGTCTGGGTGCCAGAACCTGCACAATTCCTGCCTGCAAGGCCTGAAACCTGCTTTTAGGGCTTCGGTCACTTCTCTGAGTCCCATTCTCCCCAGGGAGGACCACACACTGGTGTGCCCATTTACAGGCTTGAATGATGGCTAAGCAACAGGCTGGGTTATTTTATTCCCCCTGGAAGAGGGATGTTCCTTCCTGTTCCACAATAAACTAAAAATGGAAAATTATATAGGAAATTTCCATAATCAAGAAACTTTAGACAATAAGACTATAAAAAGAACTATAAAAACCAGATAAAACTACAATCCAACCTCATGTTATGCATCCAGAGCATTCAGAAATACAACATATTCCCCTCTGTAACAACCATCTTATACACCATTGAGTATAAGCAGATCTTGGGGTTGGTAGTGGTAGGAGTTTTTATAAAGTACAAAGAACCATACTCTCCAACTTGCCAAAAATCACTGTGGAAACAAGATTCAAAAAGTAGAAGGTAAATTATCTCACATAGATCAGTGATTCCTAGATCAGTCAATGTTCTTTACTTAAAAATCACAGAACTGTAACTTTTCAGGAATATCAGAAGTTTGATAAGTCAAACTTCCATGAACTTTTACCGACAAGGTACTTTATAAACACCATTTCTGAACCTCACAACAATTCTTTAAGATGGCAAGTAAAACTGTTTCAGGCACAAGAAAAAAACAAAGCAAAAACACCAGAAACAGGTTAATTGATTTTCATAAACTAAGTCACAAAACTGATATTGGAGCCCCGGTCTAATAATTTGATTTCATATTTTAGACTCTTTCTATTATTACTTTACACCTGTCTACTCAACTAATTCAATAAAGGATGAGAACTCATACCTAATTTATTTCTTTTATACTAGGCAATGAAGTTGTTAGGAGTAATATTTCACCATCAACAGAGCAACTTAACACATAAAATTACTTAATATGTGCTCAACAGAAATGTCATGTATTTTGTGTTATTCAACAAACATTACCTAAATAGTGGCAATTCATAAGCCACCAAACAAATTATCAAAAAATATTAGGTTAAAATTTACAGTTTTACTTCTCAAAGTGTGGTCAAGCGACTAGAGCATCTGCATCACGTTGCAGTTTTTTTGGAAGAGCAGACTCTCACGTCCCTTCCCTGAATTTGAAGTTTAACAAAGCCTCTGGTGATTTATGTGCACACATGCTTAAGAAGCACTGGTCTACACCTTCTCACTGTACACTTCTCAGATCCCAGCCAGCACAGCTCTCCATTCTGGGTGTGCTCCGGCCACCCCAAACTGCTTACTCTTCGGGAACAAGCCAGGCTGCAATTTCATGCTCTTCTCCCTGGGTCTATTGCCCTCTGCCCCCTTTGCCAGCACGGTCATCCTTTCTCTCCTCCATCTCAGTCAGCCTGGCCAGCAACTGTTACTCCATAACTCAGCTTAACTTGCTACAATGTAAATTAAGAAAAGTTATTTTCCTTTTGTTTTTCCCTTTTCTGTATTACCTTTTAAAAATAAATGTTCTTTTTCACTTCATCTCACCCCTTTCTGCCTTGGGGAGCACAGAGACCCCAATGAGGTTGCCTTTTCCTCCCATCCTGAACTTCATAAAAGCTATGTTACTTTGAAAGCTTTCTTTGAATAAAACTTCTAATCATATTAGAGATGTGACTTAAGCAAACTCCCTTCTGTCCACCACCTGTGAATGATCTGGAGATGGAAGAAGGGTAATTACAAGATCCAGATTTGGGAATTTGATCTCCTACACTTCTTATAGTGTCCCAACTTCTTGTGACAAGGTTCTGTTTCATTTTGATAGTTAATTCTGTTTGGGGTCATTTACTTCATTAACAGAGAAAATACTGCTATAATTGAACTTGGATGTTTATTTCTTAACTCTCAATAGTTAGAAATTCTCTGTGGTAGTCTTCAGTGCCTGGGGCCATGCTGCTGAATAGTAACTTACATTGCTTTTTCATTTTAAAGTGGCTAAAGGGCCACTTCTGGCTTTTCTTTTTTTTTAACTTCATTTGAGAAGATTATGTTCTCTTAGACATTTGCCCATGTGTTTTATTCTGTGTTAAGTCTTATCTCTACAACAATGGGGTTTGGGCAATATGGCTTTATTCAATACATTTCTAAACTAACTTAAGATATATCTCAGCCTAATATTTAGAGCATTCCCATCCCTGAGTCCTATCCCCTTATAACTTTTTTGATTCCTCAGCCATGCTATGTTTAAAACAAAGGGGTATTCTGCAGTCTGACCATTTCAGCATCTCCTCTCTGCATTTCATTATGTTAAATTGTTTGAAAAGGGCTTAGTCAGATGCCTGCCAAAATCCAAATAACTTACTTTTATTATTTATCACATCAGATTAATACTTACATAGAATTTTAATCTTTTAGAGAAGGACTACACAGACCCATCTGCTGTGCTGTACTGCACATTAGAAGCATACTTTTATATGTATGTACAATCGTATTATGTTAAATACATCAAACCAGGGAAAGTCTCTTTTCTTACAGGTACCCCAGGAAAACTGTATACTTCAAGCCTATTTAAGAAAATTTTGTTATGGATTCGCAAGTCAGTACACATTGACGTTAGCATTAAATTGTAATGTAACACATGGCTGCTACCCCTTGCTCTAAGGGGATTTATTCGTATTGAAAAGATGGATCCTAAAGAAATAGGAAATTTTCTAAAATCTCTTAAATCTACACATACAAGCTTTCTATAAGCCAAAAGCAAAGACAATCCCAGTTGAAATGTTTCAGTTTCGAATAACACAGGCCCATGTGGTTACAATCTAAGAAAACTGAAGACATGTCTTTTCATCAGATGACATGAACTGGTTGGTGCACCTCGGTGTGTTCTGTGGGGCAGCGCCAATCCACAAACTGTTTGTTATCCATCTGTGACAGGACATATATAGAAAATCAGTACTTAAAAACTTTTATAGCAATTTGACAGTAATTTTATGTCTATCAAATTTAATAGTCTAAAAAATGGAGTTTATATTCTGCATGTCTTTTTTCATTTCATTTCCTATGATTCATTTTCTTATCTGCTATAAGATTTCTGCAACAGATTAAAAACAAAACAAAACAAAGAAACCTTCATTTTTTAGCTTAGATAATATAAGGAAAATTGAGATGGATTGTCACTATAAATGGCAACCCAGGCTGAAACAAAGTTCTCAACTATGACATTAGCAGTGGAAATGAAAAGGAGGGAACGACTGCGAGTCACGCTAAAGAGGGAGGGCACACAGGGACTGAAGCTCCCTGGGGCGGATGGGCTTGTAAGGCGGAGAGACGGAGGGAGGTCTATGTCAAGTTCCCACACCTGTTCAGGCTTGGATAACTCCAAGAAGCAATGGTATTCTCTGAGACTGAGAATATAGGTTTTCATATTCTCTCTTTCTCTCTCTCTCTCTCTCTCTCTCTCTCTCTCTCTCTCTCTCTCTTTCTCTCTCTCTCTCTCTTTTACTCGGTAGGGGGCAGGAGAAAGGAGTAGTGAGAATGGAGTTATGAGATGATATTTGGTATGAGACATGGTGTGTTTATTCAAACAGGCTACCATATCCCTTAGCTTCGATTCCCTCACCTAAAATGTGGAAAACATTAATATTTTGTAGGACTGTTATAAGGATTGTGTTCTGTGGGTCTGGACTCAAAAAGAGGGATCTGGGTGGAAGATTCAATTACCTGGGTAGACAGGGCAATTAAAATCATGCAGATGGGTGAGACTACTGAAAGGATGATAAAAGTCAGAAAGCATCAGCATTTAAGAGGTAGGTGGAGGAAGAGATGCAGCAAAGGAGAAGAAGGAATGCACTAGAGGTAGGAAAATCAGGACAGTAGCATCCTAGAAGCCAAGGAAGGCTTTCATGAAGGAGGATGCCATCATCATTAAATGTCTTAGAAAGGTCAAGTAAAATGAGGCCTGGAGGGCCACTAGATTCGGTAACCAGGGAACCAGTGACTTTAATGAGGTGATTTAAGTGAATTAGTGGGACCGGAAGCCTGATTTCAGTGGCCCAAAGAATGGGCAGTTAACAAGGGAAGGCAAGGCCTACAGACTGTCCTTTCAAGGTCCCTAGCTGTGTATCAAGAAAAAAAAACATAGGGTTAAACTAAAAGAAAATATGGCATAGGGAATAATTCTTGTTTGAAGTTTTTGCTTTGGTTTTTGTTTTAAGATGACAACGTAAGGAAAATGAAGGAAAAGTAAAGAACACAAAATGTGGAGGTGGAGGAGCAGATGAGAAGAAATGCTGGGGTAATATCCTGAAGGGACAAGAAGACGGCACAAGAACCCCAGCAAAGATAGGCATCCTGTTGGGAGCTAGGCACTCTCCTCCTGCAAGCCAGGAAGAAAGGAGGTGAAGACAGAGAAGAAGCGTGTGTGTGAGCATGCAGAGCCGAGGGTGTGAACAGCACAGGGCCTCCATGTTCTCTGTGACACAGGAACCACGACTGACTGCCCAGAGACAAAGGCAGTCGTACGGAAAGCATAGGTGGCTTGAGGAGACACATGCTAGGGAAGAGGACCAG